GAGGAAACTTCATCAAAATCCCCCACTTCTAAATCATATGAGAGTAGTACGCTTTTCGTTATTCGAAAATAGGTGATGTTCGTCAAAAGGTAGGCTTCCACTCGAAAACAACTGTATTTTCTCCACAAGTGTTTTCTTCAGTATGTTCTATCAACAAGTGTAAGATATAGATCTCCAATCAATTGCCCAAGGTGATGGAGAATAGCTGAGCGAACTGGTAGAAAAATGGTGCACTTAATGTTAACTAATGCACACTATAGGATCGATAAACACCATTACACCGTAGAGGACCGAAAGAAGAAGCTACAAAGGATACTTACATTAGAACATTTGAGAATCTTCACAACGGTTATCGAAATATCATGAAAACGACACAAAGAATAATAACAGTGTACCTTCATTTGTTTTAATAAGTCGTTGAATTTGTGTATTCCTTGAATAACCAGTCTCTTTAACAGAGCGCAAATATAAACGTTTTTATTTGTTTGTATTCTGTGAATATTTAGATAAGCTTGACAACTTTTATCTCTGTCTGTAGCCCACTAGGGGCATCAGAACTGAATAAATCGACATAAATTTTTCTTTAACTTCAACAAAATAACAATATAGGAACAATAACGGGGTGGATTTGCAAGTATATAGCATACAATTCTCTTTGAGCCTAGCACACAACGTTAGAATCATGCACTGTCCCATGGCCCTTGACAGATCAGACAACCCAAAAGTTATGAGAAAACCATCAGGGCATACGACAGTCTAGCTACGCCAATTTCAAGAAACAAAGAATATTCACACTTTAAAACGTTTAATCTCAAATTTTCTAAGATGATTGAACAGTCGTTTAACAAAACAGTTACATTGAAACTGTATTTGTATTTCATTACTTTGATTTCATATTAATCCTTGGGAAAGATCAGATTAGAGTAATGAAGGAAACCCTGGAGTTAAGCGTTTGTGCACGAGAATGATAGGTCCTGAGTTCGAATCCCGTGAGGCGGGATCGTGAATGTGCACTTCTATGGAGTCTCACAGTAGGACGAAACGGATTTCAAGTGCTTCCAGGTTTTCCATGATGATTAGCTTCAATTGACTCATGATCTCAACCATTAAATATAATTTCCATTTAAATATGTTTCACATATTCGATGTTAGATATTGTCAATACTTAGATGATAAGTATATTTTGCATAGTATACCATCTACTCATATAATATCATGATAACAAATTAATAGGTTTATTAAGAGATCATGTGTTCCCATGGTACTATTTATTGACAAAAGATTGAAATAAATGTTGATTAATCTAATTGAAAAGATCAACTATTCATGAAACTGGAAAACTTATTTCTTACAAAATGAATCATAAAAGAAAATACAAATTATTTGGCATCAATCTTGATTGTATTAACTGATTACTCCGTTCTATATATTTATACGTGTGTGTGTATGTGTGCTGACAGAAACATGTAAATATGTAAATACAGTGAGATATGATACAATCATCAGAGTGTAGTGTGGCATCGAGTCGCGGTTGACTATGATCACTACTACAGGAAGACTACGTTCCAGTTAACCGACAAGATCCATTGTAAGCCAAATAATAGAAGGCAGTTGATGGCTGTAGTCGAGATGTATTCGTTGGAGATCTCGTGGTATCGAAAGAATATCGAGATCGTGCCAGGTTACAAGTGTGGTTACTGAGCGTACGCGAGTGAGTGAAAGGTCACAGTCAACGGGAGAAAGTATGTGTTTTAGTACAGTTAAACAAACAAGTACAGTAAAACAATCACTGGTACAATTGGTTATAATAATAATTGTTTCCATAACACCAATCGCGTTCTCTTCATATAAGTAGGTCACTACAAGCGCAACATATAGGATTATGTGAAATCATAAACTTGGTGTCCTCAGAAGATTTTACGTAGGTAGTATGCACCTGAGAGGCATAAATGAAAATGATAATAATAACAAGTAGTTAAATGCTTATTTATACAAGCTAGTAGTTTCGGAATTCATATCTTAAAATGAGAATGTCACAATTATATTGGGATGTAGTTGTAAAATCTTAGTGTGATCAATCTATAGGATTCAGAAGGGTTTATTCAGATTGTTTTCGTTCAGAAACCCTAATTATTCTAAAGGATGACTTTATGAAGTACCACAATTGGTTTTCGTATGTCTAAATCATTCCTAATTGGATCCTCTATTCTCTCATCAAGGTACAAAGCAGTCAATCAAAAGTAGGATATGCATTTACTTCATACCACTCAATATATCGGTTAGGATGAGTTATGGGGCTACACAAATACTTCACAGTAGTAAAAAAGGTTTATTTAAAGTTACAGTTGACTCATGTCTTGTGTATATATAATTTACTTCTATTGTAGTAATCAGCTTGAATCAGTTTCAAAAGTAAGTAGATTCGACTACCATCAAATAGTTAAACCACAATTTCTGTATTTTATTAGCTTGAGAAAGCTGCAGAGGTCATACAACCTAAAGAACGAATGCCCATACTGCTGACAAGTCATAACAAGGATAAAGTAGTTATACAGTTTACTTTGGATTCCAATAGTTGCTTGATGAAACTCAGTTTTCTTTCAAAATGAAGAATCTGCAAAAACACTCTGAAGTTTAAATAAGCAACTACGACTAGTGTAGTTTAATGTGTCTAGATTAAAACAGTTATCAGTGATAGCTGTCATAGATAATCACGAAATATTAGTAACTGATTGATGTTAGAAAAGTTGACCACTTTATATCTGTTATATCTAGAGCTTAGACTCGTATTATATCGCGTACTACTTGAGCACTCAAACACTAGAACCCTCTAAGTCGCAAGTTAGAAGACAAAAGACAAGTGAATGGAATGCTATTCCAAACAGTGTCAATTATCGTACGAAACTCTCAGGTATTTATGGTTTTTAGTATAAACGAAATCATCATTATAGTCCTCCTATCGGCATACAAGGGGTTTTTATCATTTGTCCAATAGGGATACTACACGTAGGGATTCTGGAACATCCTTCCAAAAAACGATCCGATGGGATATCTTCGGATCTTTCTCAGCTTCTTAGAGCTTTCTTGAGTTCTCCTGTGGGCCGTCTTCACAGTACCAAATCACTGATATAATAATCACACATTTTTTTCAAGGGCCTAATGCTCCTTATCCGAACGGTGACTGGACTGTTGATTCTGGGAAGCCTCGTATTAGGACAAAACAGCTATCTAGTACTCCCTTATTTTCAATGGTTCGCTAGATAAGTCATTACATTTCGTGACTGATTTATTCATAAATTAAGTATTGCTGTACATGGTTGACATTTGATAAAACAACCTACCAACCACTGAAATTTGTCGGATTATAGACTAGAAATCGTATAAATAAAATTTACACAAGTATGAAGCCATATATATCTGAACGGAACACGGAATACAATGGATAGATCGGAATCAATTACAAGATTTGAACTTCACAGATGACATGGCCCTACTATCTCATACACACATACAAATGTAGATAAAGACAACTAGTGTAGCAGCAGACTATGCATTAGTAGCCCTCAACATACACAAGGGAAAAACCATGATCCTCAAAGACAACGTGGAGAATACCAGCACGATCATACTTAATGAAGAAACTCTGGAAGAGGTGGGAACGTCCACGTACCTGGTCTGCAGTATTATTGATGATCGACAAGGTAATGACCGAATTCCTACCGTTGTACAACATAAGGAACTCAAAACAAATGTCAACCAATATCAATGTCATAATCTTCAATAAGAACATCAAAACAGTTCTACTATGTGGAGCTGAAACTTAGAGAACTAACACAAACATACTCAATAATGTACAAATATTTCGAAAGAATTGTCTACACAAGATACTGAATATTCGTTGACTGGATAACATAAGCGACATTCTACTGTGGGAGAGAAGAAACCACGTTCCAGCTGAGGAGGAAATTAGGTTAAGTCGTTGGAGGTGGATATGACACACCTTTGTGAAATCAACAAACTGCATGACGATGCAAGCGTTAACTAGGAATCCTGAAAGGAAACTGATAAGTGGAAGACCATAGAACACAATGCATCGAGAATTGTAAGCAGACATGAAAAGGATGAATCAGAATTAAAATTAATTGAAAACGATTGCTCAGGTCAGGATTATATGGAGAATCCTGTTAAGCGGAATACACTGCTCCATCAGGGGTAACAGGTGTAATTAATGGAGCCATATGAAGAATAAAACCCGATTCATCAATGCTTAAGTTATCTGTAAATCAAGCAAATAATATTGATGCTAATTATGAGTGAGTGTGGTTTTTTTTTATTTGCCTATCGTATCACTATAGATTCCCCTAGAAATTACTCATTTCTGATAGCATTTTCATAGTAAATAATCTTTCTTTTTGTTGTTGTTGATTTATCTAACATACTTGTTTAAACAGAATCATTGCCAACTGAATAAACTCGATTCCGGTAACCATCTGATTATCCACAGCAACTATAATATACTACTTAAGTAGAAAATAACTGAAATACATGCACACACACTCACACACGCACATGCACACACATACACACACACACTCAGATGATTAGAAATGTACTAACACTAATGATTGTTAGTAAGTAATTTACTTATCAAAAGTGTTAACTATACACACATATTTACTATTCAAGTATTTGTTATACAGACATGCCTACTCACATTGGATACACTCAATGTAGTTCATGTTATGATATCTAATTATATTGATAATGTATATCTACATTTCTATATAGATTTATACAATAAATGAATGTTACATACTAATGTAGGTTGATCATCATATGATTATTAGAATCTGATGATTTGTTTGTTTGTTTTTTTGGAATTCATTTTATGTATATAAATCAAATCACGAATTCTTGAATCATTCTATACATCGTTTAACTTTAGTTCTTTAATTCATCTTCAATTCATTCAACACTTCAATACTTCAATCGTTTTGATAATGTCAATAAATCAATTAACTCAAGAACAATGGGATGATCTATTTCATAAATATAAATCATTACGTGAATCTAATAATATTGCATGGGATGATATAAAAAGTGCATTAGAACTTGTTGGTGTCTCATTAGCTGGTCATGAAATAAGAGATTTATTAGGACAACAAAGAAATTGGCTTAATCCAGATGAATTTCATGAATTATATAAAAAAGCTAAAGATATGAAAGATACAACAAAAGCTATCAGTAAAGCATTATTATTAAAACATGCTGAAGATGTAAAAGTATGTTCTATTCTTTATATATATATATATAATCCGTTGTTAGTATTATCATTTGAAGATGAACTATATAATCTTGAATAGAAAGTGACAGATAAAATATTGTACTAAATAAATGTTAGCGAAATGTTTAAGGATCTAATCTATAACCTAATCTAACCATTCCTATGAATCCGATGTTTATCTTGTTGTGCTAATGTGGTATGGCAACTTGGACCGATGCATATATGTGCCTGGTCCTATGTTGTAGCTGACTGACTGACTCACCTTTAAAGAACATACCTAACGTGTGTATTCTACCAGTTGACTTACTTCCATGCCTTGGAAGTGCTCGTTTTTAATATGGAATATATTCGAGATTCGGTTTAAAGAATTAAGAGAAAAGTACTTCTATCTTTGAACATTCCAATTATCCTAACTACTCAACTAACTAAATGATTGATATGATAATCAAGAATGGTCATGATTAAATGACGGTGTTTTGATACAAAAACTTTATCAATAGTGAGAGGTTTCATATAGGTCAATTCATTATAAATAAACTAAGTGATCCATTGTAAACAAACGATAATGAGAATAGGAAGAGAATGATTCTATTCTTGAGATATATCTTTTGTACCTATGATATGAATTAACTTTGGTAGTGAATTCTTATATTCGTATTGTTTGACATAGAAAATGATTAGTACAGTATAGAATTCTTAGCACAAAGTATTTCAACACGTTTCCCATTTTGTTACTTCTTTGTCGATCTTGACGATAAAATATTGAAACAATTAGTCCCTTTGATAAATTTCGATCATGTAATGTGAAGACGAAGATTATCAGAACTATGTGATGATATATTAGCGCAATACACTTCGAACAATCTGATCACACATATACTTGTTAAGGTCAACTAGACTGGAAACGGGGTAGGAGGAGATAAAGATAATGATAATAATGTGAACACAATTCTTAACCTAATTACTCTGGATAATAAGTCAATATTACCAGGGTGGGTTTAAGGTGAGAACAAACTGTTTTTGAATATACATAGGAGGGTAGAATTTTCGTATACGCCCTTTTACACTTTTATACAGCACTACAAAACCGAGCTTAGATCAATCTTATGATCTGTTTCAATTATATGTTTAGCAATACAGGATGATGGATGTTTATCCTCTGCCCTTATTGGGTCACTTGATTGTATTTGTTTTTGCAGCCATTTGGGTACATGTTCAGTCACCCTAATGTTGAGATCACGATTGCTCCTACCTATGTATGTGCGAGCACACATACATTTAAATTGGTAAACACAATGGATGTAACACAATCGTTTTCGTGTCTTTTAGGTTTTGAATGAAACATGCACCTTATTCTTTCTTTGATAATGAGCTTTGCTACGCAATAACATATTGATTGATCGCTAGTTAGACGTTAGCATTTCAGTTCATCGACATCTAAATAATGTACACTTATTTTTTTTTGCTGCCTATTTCCAATTATCACGATATCTCTGACTGTACTCTTTGATAACTTGTACAACGAAACGTTGTAAACATTTTCACATACATATCTGAATAGGTTCTGTGATGAATAGCCGTAATGATATAACTTGTTAAAATATCTAGATAGATAACAAGAATAGATAGCCCAGATATTCAGGCAGGCCGCCAATTCTTTTCGCTTTATAATTGCATGAAGCGATAAATTTATATGAATATTCTTCTACATTTGAATGAATAATTTAACAGAAATCAAACACTTAGTACATAGAAGATCCTGTTTGTGTAGATTAGATTTGGAATCATCTCAGCGATTGTCATTGAAATGATGGAATGTAACATCAAAATAACTTAAATTCAAATCGTTGAGATTATTTCAAAGATAATAAGGGATAAATAGATTGTTTAAATGAATAATAAATCTATTGTTTAGATCAATAGAAGGTACCATAGAGTTCATCTTAATATATCTATATACGTTGCCTTTGGCAGATTGTACTGTGGTGCGTGCTACTTATATTCATATAAGTAGTATATAACGCGAGTCAGGAATGTAATGTCTGGCATTACATTGACTAAGTTTAATACATAATTAAAAGTTTCTTTCAATTTGTTTGTGTTGATGTTTGTACAGTTTAATTTGTGTTCAGTTCAATGAAATATATCAATTAGAAAGTTCTATTGTATACTTTATTCAACATCTTCAGTATTACTACTTGTTAGTAGTTCTAAGTAAACTTATTTAATACAATTTTTATTGCATGATCAACTTTTTAATATGATGATGGTAAACATCTTAAAATATTCACAATCTAGAATTTATAAACAAACCAATCAGATTTCAAGAAGTAAATCTTGGATTTTGGCACGAAATTCATTCATTCATTTGGTTAAATACCATTTTAAGATTTTAGTTGATGTCAATTCGTAATGAAAACATAAAGTCTTATTGCTAACCCTAACATTAAACTGTAAATCTTAATCTTAATTTTTCATATAACCCTTATAAGGCTGTATTAACAAGGTGAACATTCCAATGTCATTTTAACATTACTCTGTGGTTATCTATAAATGATACTTTGACCTTGTCAACTTTAAGTTATGCAATAAGAAAAAGATTTATGCCAATTATATGAGTGAAAATGTGAATAAACAATTGAGAATTTTATGTTTTATATCGGGATCGTGGATGCGCACTGCTGAGGAGTCCCATACTAGGACGAGACGGCCATCTAGTGCTTCCAGGTTTTCCATGGTGGTCTAGCTTTAATTGACTCATGATTTCAACTTGTATAACTTTTATCCAAATGAAAAATAGATGACAAATGAATGAGTGAATATATTTCAAGTCTTGATATAGATGTAGATGTGAATAGGGAATAGTTTTCTTCTCTCTACCCCACTTCGTACTCACGCGTACTAGCTTCAAAGTTAGGTCGGTTAGCCTATCGCACCAAGGTCTTAATCCGGATTAGATAAGTATCCTCAGCACCAAAAGTGGGTAGACAGTCCAAGGACATAACAGATATATATACATATACCATAAGGAAATTAAGTGTATACTTTGTATATGATAAGATAAATGGATTACATAGTGTTATAATAGAACATAGTTTTTGAACAAATGGTTCTAATGAACATTTAGAAAGTTCTGGTATATATTCAATAGAATTCAAGGAACTAATTTAGATAAGTCATGTTTGAATCATCGATAAAGTTATACCTTTCCATATATATATTCAATAAATGTCAACAATAACACATCTAGTATGAGAATAATCATATATTGGCTGAAAAATAATCATTACATTCAATGAAATTTATAGACTATCTTAACTATTTCCATTGTCTCGGACTTTGTTGTTTCTTCATTTCCATATCAATCACTCTCTGTCCTTGTACTCTTCCGTTCGATTTTCTCAACTTTTTGCTGCCAGATATCCCACATTCTATTGATGATATATCCTAATTATATCTGTCGATATCAATAGCAACCACCACACAAGAACTATGCCTTTTAAACTAAATGCAGTCGATTTAGACAGAAAACTTCTCTTTCGCTTTCTTTCATCAAACTAAATTAATTCTCGTTACTGTACTAAAGTAAAACTTATAACTGAGTCTTAAAGATACATAATGTTGTACTATAATTCCAAAGAAATTATCAACGTTTCTTATCATGTAAAATAATAAAGTGGAACTGTCATATTGATCTTAAATACTTTAGAACCAGGAAACTTTAAAACAATTATTCAATGTCAGTTTAGGGGTTGTGGAGTTCATCAAGCTTTTGATTGAGATCATGAACCGATTGATATTAGACCACCATTGAAAACCTAGAAGCACTGGACGACCGTTTCGCCCTATTGTGGGACTCCTGGTGAGAAGCCGTGGCCAGTGGAGCTAATCCGTGTCGGGTAGAAACAGGTGTCTACTTCGGTACAACGGAAGATGGTCACGCAACTTTGTGGATTGTTTAAGGTTAGACATTAAGACCATTGGATGCCGGTTCAGTGTTCCAGTAGGTTGAGCGTTCGCGCGCGAGACTGAAGACCCTGGGATCGTGGATGCGCACTACTGAGGAGTCCACAATAGGACGAAACGGCCGTCCAGTGCTTCCGGGTTTTCAGTGGCAGTCTAACATCAATCGATTCATGATCTAAATAAAAAAAAATATACAATGAATTAATCCTGGACAATCGACTTTAACAGAACCTTAAAACTATGTCTTCTATTTAATGAATAAAGAACAGAAAACTGTCTACATTGGGTACAATAATTACTTACTTACGCCTGTTACCCGCGCTTGAGCATAGGCCGTCGACTAGCATTCTCCAACCCACTCATTCTGTCCTGGACCTTCCTTCCTAGTTCTATCCGATTTTTGTTCATGCTTCTCATGTGTCTCCATTTCTCGGCATAATCTGTTGTTCGGTCTCCCACTTTTCTTTTGGCCTTGAGGATTCTATGTGATGACCTGCCTTGTGACACAGTTGGGTGCTTTCCTCAATATGTGTCCTACCCACTTCCAACACGTCTTCCTGATTTCTTCCTCCACTGGAATCTGGTTTAATCTCTCTCACAATAGGTTGTTGCTGATAATGTCTGACCAACGGATCCGAAGTATTTTGCGTAGACAACTGTTAATAAACACAACAAATACAATAATTGAAGTAGTTAATTTATTCATTGATTTTTTTATTTATTTTTTTCTCTTAGTCATTTACTGTTGGCAAAAATGATACTGATACTCGACATTCAGTTAGTAAAGCAGAAGAACGTGGTTTTACACTTTGGATCAATAAACGTTTGGGTCATGATGTAGAATTACAAGATGGAATTCTACCAGTTGATCCATCAGTTGATGGTCAATTATATCAACGATGTAAAAATGGAATATTATTGTGTAAACTCGTCAATGTGGCCAGTCCAAATACTATTGATGAACGAAGTATAAATAGAGGACCTAGTTTGAAAAATGTTTTCAATGTAAGTATCTGTATTGTTACTATTGTTGTTATAATCATCGTCAATATTATACCATAATTGTACTAGAATAATTATATTTCATTTAATCGTGAATATTTGTGAAATTCGGTGCTTACTACACAAATCTGAATCTGAATGAGTCGATCTAAGCTAGATCTCCATTGGAGTCCGATCTGTGTGGGTTCGAGACAGTTATCCACATCAGACAATGGATGAAGGGTTGCGCATGACCATGGATTGATTAAAGTTACACATTAACACCGTTGGATACCGGCTCAATGGTCTGGACGTTAAGCGTTTGTACTTAAGACTAAAGGTCATGAGTTGGAGTTTCATGTGTGGGATCGTGGATGAGCACTTCTGAAAAGTCCTACAGTAGGACGAAACGGCGTTCGCTGCTATTTTGCACGGTTTCTTTTCACATAAACTGAAATTTAGTGATTTTTATTCCTTAGAGAGATAACTTACGTTGATTCTATCATTTCCAGCTGATGGGATTTTAATTAATAGTTTAGAATGAAACATTATCATTGTTCAACCAAAGCTGATTGTTAATATTAGTCAAGTACCATGTTGTGACCCTAAATCTTCTCAATTAACAGGGTTAAAATTTGAAACAATTAAACATTAAGCCAGAACACTCTACTAACATCGTCAGATTGTTTTCAGACTAGAACTTTCCCTATAAGTCCCCAATGAATGAACGTAGCTGCTTGGGGAAGAACTGTGACATTTTCTTCCAAAATTCAATTTCTGTTACTTACATGTAAGTGAGGTATTCCTTGGAACGTATAGTCTAGTGATTGAAGTCGCTTGACGATCACATCGCTACTTGATTGATAAAGTTCAGTCAGTACTAAGGATTAATATTTGACAGACATTGATTAATGATTTTTTTATAAAAATTCGCTTTGCTCCTCAAAAATTATGAAACAAACGTCAGTGTATGGTAGAACAACGACTAAGTGATGAAGGGGTCTGGCTGTCAATCACGAGCTCTCTTATTCGAGTCCCAAGTTACGTATTTCACTTTGGGTAGCTAGATAGAATCATTAGCCTTAATACAAAATGTGCCTCTATACTGAGTACGCACAACTTTACTAATTGAGTTTCATCGTTTCTATAAACTCAATTGTATCTGTAACACCATTCCTATGAACTAATTTATGATCCAGGAACAAAGAGATTAGTCTAATAAGCTGAAATTGTTTATTATATCTGATCAGATAGTTTGTAATCAGAACATATTGACATGAATGTTTCATACAATTCATTAAACCCAATGTTTAATCAATGTTTTATCTAAACAAACTACATTCATTCATGCACTATCATTTACATAATTCAATAAACGCTGTCAAGGTCCCTTTTTTTAAAACAATGAATGATCTGTTTAGTTCAATTTATCAGTTACAAGTCATAGTTTGTTAGTGTTGTTTTTTTTTAATCCGATATGAATGTGAACAAGTATGATTGATCTATGAATTCATGGATTTCATTTTAGTTAGGCTGATTGATTAAGCTGATATTATTCGGTTAACATTCAATGTTACAAACATATATCAATGTCAATACTTTACCCGGATAGTTTATTTTGATTGAAAACCTAAACATTTGTTTATTTTAATGTTAGTTAAAATGAATTTACTATGAGTACGTCATTACTAATCAATAATAGTTGTTCAGAACAATTAGTACCATTCATAAAGTATGTACAGACGTTTTAGAGGTTGGTTAGATGCAGTAGCTTTGTAACTGACCTGATGTGTGTAAGAGATTTAAAGTTTTGGGACTTGGTTATAGCGAATGATTTTGCGATTTGATTCATTTGGATAGTGGAGTTTTTGATCAGTTTAAATTGTCGATGAGATATTTCACTCATTGAAGTCAGTTACGGCATCAACCGGGACACTAGGGTGTTACGATAGACAGAAATTTTTTCCTAATATAAGATTCCTACTAAGTTTGTACTCACGACTTTCTAAGCGATCATCTACAAGATATTCGGTTTTTTCAATAAGTGTTTAACTATTTGATCACTAGATTTGGATCAAATGGTGGTGTGGATTTTTGTTTTTGAATAAATTGGCGAAATGACATAACGATCATCTTCTACCAATGATGACAACTGTCTCCTTCTTTGGAAGTCAGGATTCCAGCTGGTGTTCAAAATCAGTGATTTACACAGTTGAAATTCTTGACAATTTTTGTCTGTATTGAATTTGATTTATTCTTTAGAATTATAAACTATGTACCTAATACGTTTAATAATGGAGATGTTTAATCATTGTTACTGTAATTTACAGTCTCAGAAACATGATTCTGTATGTCGTCAGATAGTATCAATGTCAGTAAGTTAGTCAGTCGGTAGATTTCTACAGAATTACACAGATACCATTGTAGTTATCACTGACTATTCTGTTTGAGATTAATTTTATGTCAAATAAGATAATCTGGATTGAACTCTACAGGTAATTATTGGGTTGATTATCCAACCAACATGCTATTTCAGTTGATATGTGTGTAATTTTCAAAGCTACATTTGATAGTTTCAATGAATGTTGTTGAATGATCAATCAGTGTTCATATAGAACAGAAATAGCTTAGTTATAATATTTATGATTGTGATATTGAATGAGACAAGGATGAATCCTACAGCAATAAATGAAACCCTTTAACAGATATCTGACATGTGTAAACTAACAAGGAAATTAATGAAAACTAAACCTGGAAGCACTGAATGGCCGTTTCGTCCTTAAGTAGGATTCTTCAGCAGTGCCCATTCACGATTTCGCCTCACGAGATTTGAACCCAGGACCTATTAGTCTCGCGCTTTGAGGTTTTTCCATGGGGGTCTAGCTTCAACCAACTCATGATCTCAACTATTGAGATTGTTTATTTTTTCATTTATTAAATAATTATCTTTAAAATAGAATTTTGTTAATATTATAGTGATTTCTTATTAACTGAATTTATGAGGTGATCTAAACTAAATCACTATGGAAAGCATCAAAGTACTAGCCAACTGTTTTGTCTCTAGTATGAAACTCCTCAGCAATGTACATGCTAGATTATCTGTTTGTGTTGGGGATGTTAGATCTCCAGAACTCACTTAGGATAGGACCTAATTTTGTAATTTTATTTAGAAATTTGAATTTGTTTTTTTCGCACTAAAAGCGCTCTTGTCACTTTGATGTCTTATTTCCCACTGGGAAATATCTTAAATGCTATTGGTCCGTTGTGTCTTTTAGTATGCTATTTGGTAATTCTCCCGAAGGACGGTTTTGTACTGTATGTATACGTTTAGAATTGTGTTTGTTGTTATCGCTGGTTTCTGGCTGTTTGTAGAATATACTTTCACATTGCAAGCTTGGACGTCTCCTTCTAGTTAGCGTAGCTGAGATGTATCGATAGTTAGCTTACTGGTCTTTTAGTCACCGAATCTTTGTTCTCGTTCACAGATTAAATGAACTTGTGATAGCATCAACCGTAGCAGTTTAATACTCATTCATTTAATCATTCAATTATTAAATGAATTCATTTTATACAAGAATACTTTTTGTATTCAGTATTATATACACATTAAACATATACACTTGATTGTCAGTTATTCATTTCTATCGAGATATTCTTTTTTTGTTGTGTATTTGTAATGTGTTATGAGTTGAACAATTACAGATTTAGTAAAACATCATAAAAATGTGATTGTTACCAAATAATGGAAGTGTGCTGAATAATAATAATAATTATTATTATTGATTAGTTGGTTAAATTAGTTATCATATTATACTTATGGTGACAATTATTGTGACAAATTACTGTTACTCTTATAGTGATACAAATGAAAGAGAACACGTACCATAGAGATATATATGACATAGTTACACTTATATATGAATCAATAACTCTAAGAATGTATCTTATGTGTATATAGTTGTATATGTAAATGACTTGTCAACAGAGTAATGTGAAAAATACACTATACATAACTTAGTTTATTATCATGAATGACACTAATATAAATATGATATGAAAATTATGATAAAATTAATGAAATAATTATCATAGTTTGTTTATGATTGAAATACATCAATGAAGAAGAAGAAGAAGATAGTAGAGAGTGTGTGAATGAGAAAAGCCAAGTTATTTTGTATCATTTTTATAATACCATTTAAGTAATCTCATTAAAATAAACTTGTTACTATGCATAGATTTATCTATCTATCATATTTCTAGTTTGTATCTATGTGTAAACATTTTCCTAATCAATAATTAAAGGTCAATATTAAAGAATTTCATAATAAATAACTTAAAAAAAAAGTAATCTCAATGAAATAATCTTAAAATCTTTACATTATATTGAATGTTAGATGTGTAGAGATAGAAGGAATTGTCCGGTAACAATACAGTTTATCCATTATAATAAGATATATTGATAGGTAGATACAACAACATTAGAGCTATTTAGAAGTGAAAGATAGAATATTATATTATGAATTATAGATAATATAATGAGTAAAGATGAATGGTGGCTAACAGTGGAATCCAATAAGCGTGTTTTGTCCTATCAGAACTAAGTAGATAAAACGATAGTGTCTGAAATGAACAATATTGAGTTTGAGTCCTGGAAAGAACATCAACTATAGGATGTGGGCACATCCAGCTGATAAGTCCCAAATAGGACGAAACGCGAGTCAAACTCGATTGCAGTACTAGCCACTAACCATCTTTCCTTATAATGCTTGTAAATTAAGGCAATATCGAGGTAATACGCACAGTATACGCATATGCCAATAAGAGATTGATCATTTTCAGCCCTTAAACATCAATGGGAATATTCAAGTAACCAATACCAAATGACTTGGTTAACTTGCTTAACCTAATATGAAATAACTTATGGTCTGAAGGATGCACCTAATGTTTAATTATAAAATGAAGAGAGCTTATCAAAAAAGTTTCTTTGAACTAATAAGCGTGACCAGTAAAGCTAATCCGTGTCAGGTAGAGATAGGTATCTACCTAAGTAAGATGGAAGGTGGTCACGCGATTTCCTGAATTAGGTTGAGGTTAGACATCAACACGGTTGGATGCGGGCCGACTCAAGTGGTCTAGAGGTCAAGTGTTCACGCGCGGAACACCGAAGGCTCATGGTTCGAATCCCATGGGGCGGTATCGTGAATGTGCACTGCTGAGGAGTCCCACCATAGGATAAAACAGCCATTCATTGCTTCCAAGTTTTCATGGTGATCTAACATCAAACCGGTTCATGATCTCAATCAAAAACATAATAATCTTCACAACCCCACACTGATACGTTTTTAAAATTTCAACATTAATTTATCATATTGTGAATGTATTCTTCATTCAACTCCATGATGTCATTTCACTTTCTGTATCAGTATGTATACATAACTCAAGGAGTGGAATCGAGTTCACATATTAGATCATTCTAATCTGTTAGTGCATTTGTTCTTTTTATCTTTATTTTGACTATTAGGTTCATGAAAATCTTACATTGGCTGTTAATTCAGCTGCTTCAATTGGATGTTGTGTAGTAAATACTGGTCCAGAAGATATTATGCAAGGTAAACGACATATTGTTCTAGGATTAATTTGGCAATTAATTCGTCGTGGATTAATCGATACAATTACATTGAATAGACATAAAGAATTAATAGCTTTATTACATGATGGAGAAACTGCTGAAGATTTATCTACATTAAAACCAGAAGAATTATTAATGCGTTGGGTTAATTATCATTTACATCGAGCTGGTTGTGATAGACGTATAACAAATTTTAATTCGGATTTAGCTGATTCAGTTGTATATGCTCATTTAATGGAACAAATTGTTCCCATAGATAAACGTTGTAAATTAATGTCTGCTAGTGAAATTTTAAGTTCAACTAGTCGTCAAGAAAGAGCAATGAATGTATTGAATAATAATGAAACATTAGGTACACCATTTACACTTTCACCAGAAGATATTTATTTAGCTGGAGAAAAGAATAATGATAATCGTGATCGTTTAAATTTAGCATTTCTTGCTACATTATTCAATATGTATCCAGGTTTAGATACACGTCGTGATGATTTATAGTAGAAGGTGAAACATTAGAAGAAAGAACATATAGAAATTGGATTAATTCACTTGGTGTTAAACCATATGTAACTCATTTATATACTGATCTTAGTAATGGATTAGTATTATTACAATTATTTGAAAAAATTAAACCTGGTTCAGTGGATTGGTCATTAGTAGATCAAGATTTTGATCCAAAACGTCGGTTATTTCAAGAAACAGGCAATTGTAATTTAGTTATTGATTCAGCTCAATCAATGAATATACGTTTTGTTAATGTCAGTGGTAAAGATATACAAAAACGTGATCGTAAATTAGTATTGGGCGTGTGTTTCACATTGATGCAAGCGTATATATTTAAATTACTTCATGAAGTAAGTTTTATGATTCATTTATATGTTGAGTTTATTATTTAATAACTTACAATGATATTGAGATTGGATTTCTTCAAATCTACCCTATACTAGGTGAAATGAACAGTCTAGGTAGCCTGTGGTTGAGTTTACGTGGTGCATTTCTTAACTATCTCAGTGGATGAAGATTTATAATTGACGTTGTATCTTTTGTCTAATTCAGCGTCTCTTACTTTACCGTTACACGTAGTTTATACTATTATAAATCATAGTTTACACTCCTACAGTAAGTTTCAATTCACTAAAATATTAACAATGAAACCAACTTAATCCTAGAGAATTACCGTCTACATATACATTTCATTAATCGATAGTCTTACTAATATATATTTATCCAACTAACTAATCAGTCAGTCAGTTACAACGTAGGATCAGGCACATATATCCATCGGTCCAGGTTGTCAAACCTCATCAGTATAATAAGATGAACACCAAACTCATAGAAGTAATCACTTCCATGGTAGTAATGTATAAAAGGAACATTGTGTATGAGGATATAATACAGGAAGAAAGAATTAGTTGGTAAAAAGAAAGGTAGAAATCAATTTCAATCTCACGGTTTAAGGAAGACAAAGAGTGTACATACCTAAGCCATTGTGATCGATTCTGAGTCATGTTACCCAGTGTCTCCAACCATTGATAACGTAGTCACATGGACCCCAAACAAGTAGTCTGCATCTACAACATGGCTCAGACTAGAAGTTAGTAACTTAGGGCTGATATCACGCTTCGATTTGGCTGCCCTCAACTTTCTTCCAACTGTCCTCAACACTAGTCAACATTGCGTGTCGTGGTAATCGGTGTTCAGGCATACATAATGCTTGGCCCAACCATCCTAGTGTATGAAGAATCACAACATTACCAACTAATTCACCATTATTCCCTAATACCCAGATTCCTAACCTCACTATTACATACCCGGTGACAATAAAGATTACATGGTCAAATAACATGTTTTATGAATTTTCATCGAAACTTCAACGAACAGTTTGGCTTCAAGTGTGTTAGAGACATGAAAAATGTAATTTTATGTATAATTCTGAACTAATTAAACTAAACTCTTCATTGAAAGATCCAACCATCATTAGGTAAGCAATCAACACTACATAAGAAAATTGAGATAGTTTCCAATAATCTAAAACTTATGTTTAGTCGTAGCTTTAGTCACCTCACAGTTAAACAAGATCAAACATGATTCTTCACTATTCAATTATTTATTCATGTTCTTATAATGATTCTGTTGATAGTATCAATATAAGCCATTTGATATGAAATAAAATCACAATATGAAGTACCATACTGTGTACGTTAATCAATATTGAATTTGAATGATTAGAGTTAATGTGTTTCACATATATTGTAAGGCAAATGTATTGAAAACTGATCAATCATAAGCAAAGATGGATAGTGACTAGCAGTGGAATCCAGGACGTGCGTTTCATCCTGTTTAGGACTCGTTAGCTGGAAGAGATAATAAGAATTGGCATGTTATTTAAACTAAGAAATATCTAGTTTACAAGTTTACTCATGCTTTTACAAAGAACAAATAGATGATAACTCTGCCAAAAAAAAGATTTGCTACATGGAATCAATCTTTCTTTAGTGAAAATAAAAACAAAAGAAACAGATTGAGTTATATTCATATAGGTATTGTTTATTTGAATGTTCCCATTGATGTTTTAGGGCTGAAAATGACCAGTCTCATATTGGCATATGTGTATAACAGTGTGTGTATTGCCTCGATATTGCTTTAAGTCATAAGCACTCTAGAACTCGAACCCAGTGCCGTTCACTTCAAACGTCATCGCGTCATCAATTTAGCTATTTAGTCACTTGCTTGTGTGATGGGGTAAAGTTTTAAGTCAATTGGTTTTGTTTACTTGAATCTTCTCATTGGTGTGGCTATCAAAAATCAGTAGCTAAGTGGATAACACGATTGACGTTTAAAGCGAATGGTACAGGGTTCGTGTCGCAGAGTGAACATTAACTCTGAAATGCAGGTACATCCAGCTCATTAATCCCAAACTGGACGAAACGCGAGTCAAACTGGATTCCACTACTAGCCACTATCGATATTTGCTTAAGCTGAATTATATTTATCAATGCCCATACTAAAAACATGAATACTTTGAAAATTATGTAAACAGAATGATGAAAAAAATACGGAGAATATGTCTTAATGTCTGCTGAAAGTTTGAATAAACAATGTGGTTATGAGGTGAAAAGGAGATAAATGATGTTTGAAATATATTTCAGGGTATACTGAAAATTTCCTTAAGTTTCAAAGTATATAATGAAGGTAGCAATAAATTCAGACGTAAATGACAAACACGCGAGCGAGATCGTGGTTGCGCATTGCTGAAGAGTCCCACAACAGGACGAAACGACCGTCCAGTGCTTCCAGGTTTTCAATAGTGGTCTAGTATCAATCGATTCATGATCTCAATCAAAAAGACTTAATAATCTCCACACTATACTAAATCAATAGCAGAGAAATTCAAGTACTTCAAAGAGATTTTTTTCATATATGAACTTAATTACTGTAAACTAGACTTAATGGGAATTCATTTAGTTATTCATCGATAAATTCCTTGTTCATTTCTATCTCAAACGTTACCATAATTAATGATGATAACTATTTTTACTGGTTATGTACCTTGACAATTATTTGTCTTCTAATGTCATTTAGTTTTATATGATAACCATTATAAATAACTCAGACTATAACTTAGGCCCTCTTCATATGGTATTTGAAGTTCATCTAGATATCAATTATATATTAGCAGTGTCACATAATTCAATTTAGACAGTGTATACTACTGTTGATAGATATAAGTAATATGTATCATCAATCAAAAGTGAAATATCTGGCGGTAGAAGGTTAAGAAAATCGAAGAGAAGAGACTTTGAACAGTGAATGGTTGATGTGGAAACGAAGGAACAGTGAAGTCTAAGATGATTAATTGACATTTTCCAAATGAAGTATTTACTGTATGGTTCACAGACTTTAATAAAACATTCTGTAATATTTTATGTTCAAATACATTCAACTGTCTCCACTTGTGTTCTTGTTCACTACAATAGTACACACTGAATTACTACTTCACTATCATCATATTAGGAAACTTAATAACATACAAGTAGAACTTGACAACGGTTTGGTAAATATTTGTTTTGTTCTTTTTTGGCCCTATGTTTGATTGCTAAATAAACAACTACAGTTTACTTAGGTGAATAATGCGTTAGTTGATAAATGAAGTTATGGAATCCATGTAAATTCAATGCCTACGTTTAAATGTGTTAATATGTAGATTACGTAGTGAATTTATGTGACTCATATCAACAAATACCATGTATATAATAATTCATGTCTTTGAATACAAGCTAATAAGTGATCAATAAATATGAATAAACACCTTCTGGAGAATACACGAATGCTAAGGTTACCTTTCGTGGTACAATGATATAACTCCATTTAGATCACTCTGATATGCAGCGTATGACGTCACTGACACGCAGCTATGTATATCGATCTTTGATGGATAAGGACATTTGTATGTCTCGAAAAAATGTCCAAAATGTGAACAAGCCGCAAAACTGCCACCGAAATTATAGTCATCTCCATGGTCAAGTGTAGAAAAGCCATAGTCCCGTGTTAACGTTGATTTTGATGGGCTAATAAACGATCAAAACTTTCTTACTATCAACGAATCAATTACAAAATGGCCAGAAATTTATTTAATGCCTTGCACTTCATTGACCTTACCAATAACGGTGCTGAATAGATCTTTCGGGCAGTTTATTTTTCCGGTAACAGTAATTACAGAAAAGAGATCTCACTTCATATCAGAAATCCTCTCAAACTTCCATTTAAAGAACGCGATTACACAAATTCTGTCATCGCCCTACCATCCCAGTCAAAAGGCCTAGCTGAGCGTTGCGTCAATACCTTCAAGCGAGCTCTCATCAAGTCACGAGGGGAGGGCGCAACGGAGGAGGTCATCCAGAATTTCTTGAAGGCACACAAAACAACCTCGAATTCCGCCTCACCTAATGGTGTCTCCTCTGCTGAATCAATGTTCGGAAGGAAGGTTCAGACTTCATCGGATAGAGTGTATTCACGGAGAATAAGACGAGACTATAAACCCAATTGGCACAGATTTAATGGCAGTTTCCTGATGAGTTACCAGTATTCGTAAGAAACTTACCACATTGGGGATCAACATGGGTAGCAGACGTTATCGTAAGAAGAATAGGTGAAATAATGTACAAATTTGATGTTTGAGGTAAGCGCCTGACATCCTTGGCAGACGATTAAATTCAGACAAAGGACCTCCTAACTCAAATCTGCAACTAGATTATTTGATCGATACAGACATTTGAAAGCATCAGGATCAGCGCAGAAGATGTAATGACCAGACCAAGCGAAAACCATCAGCACTTTCAGTTAAATCCAGTTAGCGGGACTTATTTTTCAGAGTGGAAAGATGATATGAAGAGTCAACTAGAAGTAGCCTAATGAGAAGGTCAATCGATAACAATCACAACTGACCCAGAGGTCAAGTGCATTTCATTGAGGTTAAATGAGTCAATTTCCCAAGGATAGACTAGTATATATATATATATATATATATATATATATATATATATATATAATTATTTGTGAATTTCATTCAGTAGTTTGATACACTTTTTCTCTCACCCTTGTGTTTTCGTTGAAGTAGTCAATTGTGGGGTTATTGCGTAGCATATCATGCATCAGTATCAGATAAATCAATTTATATTTCACTGATTGAAATCATGAGTCGATTGAAGCTAGACCATCATGGAAAACCATGGAAAACCATCACGGAAAACTGCACGGCCGTTTCGTCCTGGTATGGGACTCCTCCGCAGTGCTCATCCACGATTCCGTACCTGCGAGATTCGAAACCAGGACTTATCAGTCTCTAAAATTTCCACTAAACCCCTTTTGATAATTCATATTTATTGATTTATTTTAGGTTACTCCAGGTGGTATCGATATTCCACATGATGATCGTGATATATTAACATGGGTTAATGGACAAATGAATGAAGCTAAAGCTAAACCAATTCATAGTTTCGTGATCCAGCATTAGCTACTGGTATACCTATATTACAATTATTAGAACATATTAAACCTAATTCAACAAATAAAGAAATATGGTTAGGGAATAATGTAGATGATGCATCTATACGTCAATATGCTATATCTTGCTGTCATAAAGCTGGTGCTCGTGTATTCACATTACCGGAACATCTTGAAGAATTAAATGGTAAAATGATTTTAACATTATTTGCTTCATTACAATTATTATATTATAATTTAAAACAAAAAGCTGAAAATAAACATAATCGTACAAAAAATACAGAATTGAAATGGTTAAAATTAAATGATGACAATAAAATTAATGGAACTGAATAAGAGAAAAAAAAAACCAAAACAACAAAGAAAACTATTCATCATTGACCTTCAATGACTATTAGTTTCTTTTCTTTGTTTTCTTTCTTTTGTTTTCTTTTTTCTTTTTCTTTTTTCTCTTCTTTTTTCTTTTCTTTTCTTTTTTGAACATTCACATGGATATTGTAATTCATATTGATTTTGAAAAAGATGAAGAAGGGGGGGGAAACTCAGTCTCTTTGTTGCTAACGGTTAAATGAATCAAATTGTTTATAGCAGAAAAAATGTTTTTTTCATTTTTCTCTAAAAAAAAAGAAAAAAAAAGAAAAAAACCGAATTGATTTTTGATGGAATATTCATTTTAGTCAAGACATACTTTTTTTCTCCCCTTTTTTGGGTTTTGGTTACTGAGAGAATTTGTTTAATTGGATGTATCCATTGTTTAGTAAATGAAATCAAATGAGTTAAATCACTTACTTGTTTGATATGTAACCTTCTTTTGTTTGTTTGGTTGTTTGTTTTTTGTTTTTTTATTCATTCCAAAAGGTAAAAAAACTTCATTTGAATTGTTTTGATAAACTAATTAATCAAATAAATTATATATTTTCATTAAGCAAATGATTCAATGTTTTGAGTATAGGAGTTGTGGAGAATGAGATCATGAATCGATTGATATGAGACCACCATTGAATACCTGGAACCATTGAACTATCGTTTCGTCCTATTGTGGGACTCTTTAGTAGTGCTCGCGCGATTCGAACCCAGAGCTTCCAGTCTGGCGTGCGAATGCTTGACCTGCTGGACCACTGAGCCAGCATCCAATGGTGTTTCATGCAATTAGTTCCCTTTATGAATTTAAATAAACCAGATTAAATACTAATGCAGAATAATGTGGATTCATCATATTTCGTGGTTTCTCATCAGCTGATTATAACCACTGATATGTATTAGAATGTTACATTGAGATAAGAAATAGTTTGGAACAACTGACATATGTGAATGTAAAAGACTGGAATGACAAGAGGTTATCAATGATAACTATATATATATGGGTTGGAATCGAGGAAACATTAAGGATGGCTGGTGTACAGATAAGGTAAATTATGTGATAATTATAGAGGTAATAAAGAATTTATGGAGTTAGAAAATTGATAAGTTGGGTTACTTAGTAACTGGATAGTATTTGAATAGTTCACATAATTTAAGAGAATCAAGTGAGCGGAAATGTGTAAGTGAAAGGGTGGTTTAAGAATTCGATAATGGGAGAGGAATAAAAACTAGTAACGAAAAAAACACGCACAAAAATGGGATTACCAGGGTAGTAATAACTTTATGACTGTCTCTTTTTGAATACATACACTCGATTGAATCGGGCCATACAATTGAGTTCAATGGCGCAAGAATCATTCAAAAAGTCTTTAATTCTCACAAAGAACGACTAACAGTTGAAGCCCTACATATATGGGCTAATTCATGAAGTATTAATGGGACAGATGGAATACAACTAGCTGTCCCATGACAACTAATAATTAATGATTAAACCTGAACTCCTTATTCCATTTGATTTGTCTATATCATATTAACTAATCAACGATTTCAAATCAGTTATCTTATCTGAATATGTTGTACAATTGACTGGGACATTAAAATAACACAAAATTTCCATTACAAATACATTTCTCATTGAATTCAGTCTTTTTTCTTGTTTACTAATTTTGTTTCACAATTGATTGACCACTGGGTGGCGATCAATGTCATACATGTCTAGTCCTTATTAGTGCAGATCGAATGCTATCGATCATGTTGCAATGTGGCCACCAGTCTAGGTGACTCGACACTGAGGGCACTATATATTGAGATTAGATGGTGGTTGGAAGTAGTCAACAGGAAACCCCGGACCCGGGTTTCGTGCTACTTGGCACTCGTCAGCAAGGTGTACCTGTAATCTTGAGGGAACTGGTACTCCCTCGCGGATTCGATCTCGTGTGACCCAGTTTCACAGCAGCGGCCGACCTCCTGTAGGACTGTGATGTAATCACAGTTGATTGATCACTGGGTGGCGACCAATGTCATGCGTGTCTAGTCCTTATTAGTGCAGATCGAATGCTATCGATCATTTTGTTTATTCATTTTCATTTAATGCATGCTGTGACATTTTTAATTCATTTCATATATAAAATGGTATGGTTTCTTAATAGACACAGACCAAAGACAGTATATAGTTGAATGAAATTTCTTCTCACATCACTTACGTATACACATAATCCCTTACCTTAACACTTCGTTTCACACTACATATCTCTTACACAATAATGTAAATACCTACTTCAAACATTGTACACGTTGACTGGATGACTTATTCAGTATGCAGTAAACCAGAGAACCATGTACCTATTTATATTCGATAATCTTATTGTTTGATTATATTTTCCTTGAAAGGGTTTGGACCAGATTTCCAGGCGAAACGTTGGATTTACTTCAAATTCTTTCGCTGAAATTTTACAAATATATATACATCCTTTTTAATGTCATCCATAGATCCGGTCTAAGTTTCTTTTATCGCGATCACTTCAGCAAAATGGAGAGCAGCCGTACTTCTTTGTCTGCTAATAATTTTAAAAGCCTGAGAGATATCAATGGTATGCTCGGTGTCAAGTAAGTGCCGAGCTATTGCTCTATTGAGAGCCCTACTCCCTCGCAGCCTTAATTTCTTTGGAACATGCTCGGAAATGCGAACACGTACTCATCTCTCGGTTCTTCTAATATACAAACCAAGAAATATAATGAATTAATATTAATTAACATCAATATTTGTTCTCCTTTCATTCAAATTATTATAATAACTAATGCAGTTTTTGAACACATTCTATTGCTGATACATAGTCGTTACATCTATCAACATTAGCCACCAAATGTTCTGGTACGGACGACGGTGGGGAAATTTAGCTCCCACTCGATTAATACTACACATGAACACGGATATACAGCCACTGACACGGAAGTCCTACTCACTGCCTTCTCATAGCACCGGTGTTGTTTGCGAAATTGAGAGGATGAAAAAAGAATGTTCGGCGCATTAGACGGGTTAGTGGATATTGAAGGACCAACCTAGGAAATTTGGAAAAATCTGATTCCAAACAAATTGTGCACATGGGCTCCACCATCCTGAGTGAACAAATAGCGTACGAACCAATTGTTGGTCAGCGGCTACCATGAAACTGAATCTCCCAACATTGCTTCACTGCCTTGTGAATCAGACTTTCAGGTCAAAGGATCCGAGTGTGGTCCGCTAAGAAACCTACCTGCTTCAGTCGGAGCACCCAATTAATGTCAATATCACAGCCCACACACAAATCAAGTGACTTGTGTTGTGCATATGTATCTGTTCCCCCTTTGTACCAATATTTATGTGTTCAAATAAATAAATAATCATAGTTCAGCAGTTAAGTTTTAAAGTTGTAACTAGCTTTTCAAATATTTTACTCAATTGAGATTATCAACACTCTGTTAGTTATTCGTATGTTTGTAGTGTCAGTTATTATTGTTAAGCCCATAATACTTTATTCTAACTTTCGGACAGCCCGATCTATTCATTCTACTTGAGTCACATTTTCACCTTGTTATTCATTCGCTTATCAGTCTTGACTGTTTTTTTTATATGAGCGTATATGTGTGTACATTTCATATCCCATATCTCATCACATGTCTGTAGTTTATTTTGACTGCCTATAAATATTGAGTAACGCCTGGCTAAAAATGGAGTTGGCTTCCTAGCCATTTCCACTGCGCATCATTTTGCTTTGATCTAATACATTCACTTTACATACAAAATATATGTATACGAAAGTCCATTCTCGTTAAATGACTTATCTAAATTCCTTTATTGACTAAAGTGATTTAAGTCGATGATTGTATACGAGAACAGGCGAATATATAATTCAACAGCAATCATCATTACGATCTAAATGGAGTCAGATGTACGGGCCCGCTAAATGTTTTTCAGTTAATGACTTGTCTATGGTTTTGTTAAAAAAGAGCGTAAAATATCTGTCTTCCTATGCAAAATAATAAAAATAATAATCCCTCTAAACCTGTCAACAAGAAACACTACTTCAAAAGATCTAAGTGAATAACATACTTTCATACTTCTTTGATATGAATGAAATAATCTTTGATGATCAATAAAGATTATTATAATGTTATTATTTGAATTCATGAATCAATTGTAGTTTGACCACCATGGAAAATCTGGAAACAACGAACAGCCTTTTCGTTCTAGTATGTGACTCCTCAGCAGTGTACATCCATGATCACGCCCCACGAGATACTGGACAGTGGCACGATTTCGTGGATTGATTGAAATTATACATTAATAGCATTCAATACTGACACGGTGATCTAGAGTTTAAGCATACGTGCTCGAGACTAATAGGTCCTTGGTTCGAATCTTGCAAGGCCAGATCATGGATATGCACACACCCCGTCCCTGATTATTGTAATTTTGTCAAATACAGAAAATACACGTATATATTTACTTATTAATAATAATCTAAACATTGATCTAGAACTATAAACAAATATGGATAGTGGCTAGCAGTGAATCCAGGACGCGTGTTTCGTCCTGTTTGGGACTCGTCAGCTGGATGTACCTGCATCTCGGAGTTGATGTTCACTGTGAGACTCGAACTCAGTACCTTTCACTTCAAACGTCATCGCGTTATCCACTTAGCTACTGAGTCCTGCTTATAATGCTTGTAAATTAAGGCAATATCGAGGCATTCGCACAGTATGCACATATACCAATATGAGACTGATCAATTTCAGTCCTAAAAACATCAATGCGAAGATTCAAGTAAAAGACAATATCAAGTGAATTAATTTAGAAAGTTTTCAAAATCAAATTTTCTGCCAAAGAAATTTTAATTTCTAAACCCTAGAATTAGATAATACCGATTATATTCTTATTACTACTGTTATTTAATAAATAACATCAAAGAAAAAAATATTTGGAAAGTACATTCTCTTTCTATAATACGTGATATTCATATTTATATTCAGAAAATAAAAATCTATCTTAATTATGAATAGCTATTTTCATATAGTTGACAGATAGAATATATAAGTTGTAACTAAGCTATAGTTTCCAAACTGACTTTGTAATACTGTGTGGATATGACAAATGCGCATAGTAAATGGAAAGGGGAAAATATTCATAATTTTGCACTGACAAAGTGAACTATTCATTTCGCTGTCATTAACTATGACATAGATTCTTTCCGACTGAATCAGTTCAATATTATTTGTTATATATACTCAATTATATGTTAATTTGATACTTACATAAATCTTTTTATTCATTCATCTTTTGAATAGTTACTTGATCAAAATCTAGAATATATGTATTGTGACTGATATCAGAATGAAGGTTTTGTGGTGATTGTAATAATTTCAATAGTTGAATTCATGAGTCAATGTAAACTAGATCATCATAGAGAACCTAGAAGCACTAGATGTCCGTTTCATTCTAGACTTTAAGCGTTCGTTCATAAAACTGTTAGGTCTTCGGTTCGAAATCCGTGTACAAGATTAATAGCTCGCAATACTGAGGAGTTCTATACTAAGATGAAACCTCCCTCCTATCTAATGTTTCCAAGTTCTCCATAGTGTTTAAGCTTACATCAACTCATGAATTCAACTATTATGATTGAATCAAACTACACAATATAATATATTTTATATTATTTATTATGAAAACAGAAAAAAAAAGATACATAGATTAACAGAAAACAACAAAATATGTTATTCATTAGATAAAAGAATGAACAAAATCACCATGGAACCAACCATTTTATTACAAGTAAAACAAAAACAACAAAAGAAAACGAAAACAACAAAAAATAGAGAGTAACATTAAAACAAGAGAGAAAAAGTTTTTTTTAAAAAAAAAAAGAAAAGAAAAGAAAAAAGAAAACTAAACTAATAAATTGATTGTAAATTTCATTGGTTTTTGTTATTGGATTCTATAAAATTAATGGAATTCATACATTATTATCATATATGTTAATAATAATAACGTGTAAAGATGATAGAATATTTAAATGTATTACATATATAGTGTATATATATGAAACATTGAACATTCAACGCCAATATTGAAATTTGATAAAATAGTGAAATAAAATGTTGATTTAAAAAAAACGAACTTGTGTTACCATGGCAACATGTGAAAGATGTTCTCTATGTGTTCATGTTATTATTATTTTTTTATTACTTTGATTACATTTTAGATAAAAGAGATTTTTTTTTAAAAATGTGGAAAAAATTTTTCTTTTTTGTTTTATTTCATTGATAGTCTCTATTGTTTATTAGTACAATTCAATATTAATTAGTAAGTAATTAAGAAGAAAAAAAAGGGTGTCAAAGAAAGAAAACAAACACAAAACAAAATTTCTACTAATTACTATGCAATTTTCATCGTTATGTCCAAAAGAAAAGAGAATTTTTTTTTAGGTAAGTGTTTTCTTTATTATCAATAAGGAGATATATATAGAGAGAGATAACTTGATTCTATGAATCTTATAACTATTGATTTTGATTCAATGTAATAGAATGAATAAATTCTGAATTAGTTATTGATGTTTTTTCATTTTAATAAAGATGTCATTGATGAAGGTGACGATGATGATGAGGAGGACGAGGAGGAGGAAAATGAAGATGGTGATGACAGTGATGATGATGATGATGATGAGGAGGAGGAGGAGGAGGATAATTGGGAACTATGAAACGCATTATGCATCATTTCAAAATCATTCAATGAATTATTTAAACTAGATCTATGATTATACATTGTATTATTTGTATCATTTGAAGTATGCATCATCATCGTCATCATTTCAAATGTATTTTGTAATAAGCTATTTGTACTTTTATTATTATTATTATCACTAAGGTTTATACATTTCAATGTTTCATCATCTATATACTTATATATATTGTCATTAAAATGTTCTATATTACTTATTTGATGAATAGATGAATCTATTGGTTTATTGAAAGTTGTTTCATTATTAGATTCTGTGTTCAATAGATAATTGGTACCATTATGTAATTCATAATTATCATAACTATAATCATTACTATGATTATTATTATTACTACTATCTATAGTCGAAGTAGTATTAGTAGTATCAATATGAGTAGTATCATGATTCACAACGTGATTAGTTTGTATAGACATTTTTATATCATTATTATAATCATATGATGATGTAAATGGTATCAATATTCTTTCATTCATATAATTGATATTGGATAATTCATAATTTGGATCATTGAATGGATCATCATCGATTTTGATTTTATTAAAAATGAATTTATATCATCAATATCCTCAGTGTTATCATCTAAAAAAAATGGCAAAATTTGAAAATAAAATGAAATAATTAAAACATAAAACATTATGATAAGTATAGAGTTAAGCATTTGTATGCGAGAATATAGGTCCTAGGTTCAATTATCATTTTGTGCATTCAAGGATTGTAGTTAGGGTTTTTTAGTCAGTCGTTAACCCCATGCAAAGCCCTCCTCATTTATCCAGGCTTGCAGCTGGCAGCAGCCCAAGAGGAGCTTCAGGCGGATTCACGTTGCTGATAAGACCCATAATAGAACAGTTGTTTAGTGCTCACATCTTTTCAATAGTAGTCTAATTTATATTGGTTTATGATCCACCTAGGAGAGTTGGAGAACCACAATTTCAAACCAATGGTGTACATAGGCTCCAGTATCCTGAAGAAACAAATGGCGTATGGACCAATTGTGTGTCACCGGCTACCACAGGACTGCTTCTCCTACGTCTCTCCACTGCCTTATGGATTAGACATGTAGGTCAAACGATCCAGGTGTGGTCCTCTAAGAAAACCACTTGCATCGATCTGAGCACCCAAGCAGTATTCCAGACCTAACACAAGTCGAATGATTTCAATGAAAATAAAATTGTTAGTTTCGAGTTAACTAATACTTAATGTTAACTTGGATAAGCTTATAGGTTAAATGAAATTATTAGATAAATAATCAGAATAAATATGAGTCATATAAGTTGCAAAGAAATAATAATACAATTACAAACTCTATTCAATATTTAATGGGAAGCTATGCTGTGTATAAAGTTATCTGAATTCAATGATAAATTAGATAATAATGTGAGTTGAATGTTAACCAAGTTAATCGTGTGTTCTGGAGACTATAAGTAATGTTAAACCAATAATAATAGTAATAATAATAATACAAAAATATGTGGATAACAATAACGAACAACATCTAAATCACCCACAGGTATGGTGATACCAAGACTTTATGGCCTATCAAAATGATACAAAACTGGTCTATAACTTCATCGAGTTTTAGATATCGTCGATTGGTCTTACATTTTAACTATGAAATGGTTAATTGAACATCTCAAGTCATTACACAAAGATGTCGTACAGCACAGTTTAAAAGATTGTTTTGAACGTGGAGATGGAATTCCTGATCTGAAGGTGAGCAGAAAATTCATGATGTCAATCTACGTATACACGTACCTCTTATACAAAATAGTTTATTTCATATGTAGCGAGTTATCAAATCGAAGAATGGCAATTAGCAACCCATCTCCTTTCTCAAGGAATCATATCCAGATATGCTATGAATAGATATTATTTTTCATAAAGAACTTTATAGATAATCCGACGGTATTTTATGAGATCACTAATCTTAGTTCTGGCAAAATTAGAAAACAGATCTCTAAAAAATGTGACAGGAAAACTAGAATTTTATTGTCTCTATATAGATGATACATTTATAGTTACAAAATACAATTGTGAAGCTTAAAGTTAACTAGAAACATTTAATCGAGTCCATCAGGCATGCACTTTCACAATGCACAAAGAATAGTGACACACCATTTCGTCTCAACACGTTCTATTGATGAGAAGAACTGATAGGACAACAAGAAGTCTTTATCGTAAATCAACTACACAAAACCAGTATACGTAGACAACACTTCAGCGTTTGAATTCTCACAGAATTGACCTTACGGTTTCAGAACCTCACTATTACGATAAAACAGAAACTGTGGGAAAACAAATCAAAAAATCTAACCTTTGTATGCAACGTTTATACAGAGTCTGAGACGTGTATACTGTCAAGTTGACTCATCATCATCTAATAGCTATCAACTTTCTACTCATTCGTAAAGCAGTATATACTGGTATAGAGCCCTAATAAAGATCTGATTGAAAACAAGTAGTTCTTCAGTCAACTAGTCTTGCTAAAAGTGACAAAGACAAGAATATTCAACTAATTAAGAGTGTGTTTACATCAGTGGAATTAGGTGATTCAATAATTAAGATTATCACTGATTTATTAGCCCTAAGGTTGGTCACAGTAAAAGAGGAGTTTGAATATATTACTTTTGCTTACATAGCTCCAGGTTTCTAATTCGACTAGCCATTGCTTCTGCCATTTTGAAGAACTTTGAGGAAGATTATCTATGGCAGAAAGTTACTTATCTGATAAATTATTGAGAAAGATTGGTTTATACTAACTCTGTCATTAATTTGAACTGAGTGGGCTAGTATTGAGTTATTCATTGTTTTGACTACACTTTGCTTAGTAAAGCTAGAAGGTGTTCATGAACACATTTCCAACTAGTTTCCTAACTTGACCATCGAACAAAAGACATGAGACATTACTAAGATCATTCACTTGAGTTATAAATCTTTATTATCTTAAACAATTTTAAGTCCTGGGTTCGAATGTTGCGGTTGGGATCGTGGATGCATACCACTGGGGATTCCTAGGTTAAGACGAAACGGCCATCCTGTGCTTACAGGTTTTCCATGGTGGTCTAGGTTCAATTGACTCACGAATTCAACCGTTTTTTAAAAAAAGGAAACACAATTGGCAGATGTGTACAGAAATAAAACAACAAAGATAATTATCCTCTACGTATGTGGGTTATAACTCATTTATCGTTGAAATCAGTGAAGCTTTAATGCTAAAGAAGATTTTACGTGAGACTATAAATTATGAACGATTTTTGAAAGACACTAAAGTGACCTTGACAGTGTTCACCTGACAGTTAAGAGCAAATGAAGGTTATAAATTAGTGTGTGAGGAATTCGAATTATGATTAACAGTTCATGGTTAAGGATTAGGAATTCGATTTCTGGATTATCATCACAGACTGACATCAGTTAAAATGCCCAAAACTCTATTTACAGATTGAAATCATAAGTCAATTGAATCTAGACCACTATGAAAAATCTGAAAGCGCCGAACAGCCGTTTTGTCCTAGTATGTGACTCCTCAGCAGTGCGCATCCACGATCCCACAACTCACGGGATTCGAACCCGATTCGAACTTTATTTAGCCAAATGGATGAGTGAATTTTACGCCCAAACTTCGAGACCTGTCATCTTGTACCCAAATGATTCGTTCAGAAATGATAGTCTTCACTTACTTAACAATTTATCATTAATTGAATTCTGATTATTTTGTATAGATGATTGAAAGTTATGAGTATTTTGATAGGATGTTAGTAGATTTGATGAATTGAGTTCAATGTTATTGATTGTTTTGTTTAAGTATAAATCTGTTTTAGATCCATAACTATTATGATTATTATTATCATTACTATCTATATCAAACATGAAATCTGACTGATCTGGATCAAAATCATAATGATTAAAAGATTTAAAAGATTCATTAAGATCATAATGATTGAAATCTGTACAAATGGTTAATGGTGATCTAAAATGAATTGGATCCTTTTTATTATGAATAGATGAATGATAATTCTTTGTAAATTGATTCAATGATATCGGTAAAGAATAAGATACAAATGTACGATCATATGAAGATGGTGAAATGTATGTCCTCGGATTAGTGTAATTCAAAGATGTAGTTGAAGGATTATTATTATTATGATGATGATCATTCATACTACACATGATCAATCATGATTAGAAGTATTGGATAACTTATTTTCATAATGATGATCATTATGTATAACTTTGTTAACATTAGATAAACTATAACAATTACCATTACTATAGATACCATTATTATTATTACGTATGAAATAATCATTTACTAGCCAAATAATTGCTAATTCACTAACTGATTGTAATGATTCTTCCATAGTAATTGATGGATACTTAGAAGTGAATTGACGATTGATCATTGGTAAAAAAACCTGTACAAAATAAAAAATCAATAAAAAAAATCAATAAACAGAATATCCTTATAGATTTGTGTCATGGTCATTTCTACCTAACGGTTCATTCAAATATGCACATAAAACAAGTCACTTCATTATATATGCAGAGATGGATGGTGTATATTAGTGGAATGCAGGACATGCATTTCATCTCATCCGGTACTCGTCAACTGGATGTCCCTACATCCCATAGTTGATATGCACAACGGAACTCGAGTCTAGTACATCCAACTGATGAGGTTCTAATAGGATGAAACGCGCGTCAAACTGCATTTCACTACTAGACAGCTTATAATGTTTATGAATTAGAGTAATATTGAAACAATCTGCACAGGAAGAGCATATACCAATAAAGGCTAATCAATTACAGTCTTAAACATCAATGGGAACATTCAAATCACAAATACAAAGTGAATTAATTTCGTTTATTGATTTTCTAATTATTGTAGGTTTTTGCATACCGTTTATAACATCACACCACTATTTTCCATCATAATAAAAACATTACGTCAACTTTCGATTCACTAAAATGCATTAATAAGCTTCCAAAAATTATTGATTATAGTCGATTCTGAAATCAGAATCAACATTCGTTTGATTATTATGAGTTATTGCTTCAAGATCGTAAACGGAAAGCGAAAAGCTGCATTTTCACCGAACCCATGATGGGGTTTTCTTTGTTTTCTCTTATCTCCCGATTTATTTGGTTCATCTTCGTGAATTTTTACATGTAAATGCCTAGACAAGTCAAATGTGACGTTCGATTCTTGTTTAAAATGCTGCCTGCTAAGATATCACAGAACTTTAATAAATGTTGTCTTCTCACTGTATTATTTGAATAGAATAATTGAACTAACACTTGGAATAATCTATCGTATTCTTTTCATTTTGATATTAATGCATAAGCGAAAACTGGAGGGATTGTTTCCACACAGTACTTCACAGGGATTGAACCTCAAGATCTTCAAGTTTCGCAGATACCACGATTTTAAAATACCATATAGTTGGAATCCAGTAGTACATACATTTCAAATTTATGCAACTATCATTCATGTAAAAAGCTTATAGTGAACGAGAACACAAGTGAGGACAATCGAATATAATTGAATACAAAATCATAAAACATCTTAGTAAAATCTGAGAACCATACAGTAAATACTTCATTTGCAAAACCTCAATCAATTATCTCAAACTTTATTGTTCTTTCGTTTCCACAGCAGTCATTCTCTGTTCACGTCATCTCTATAAGATTCTGTCTCCAGACCTTTCACTTTTGATTAATGATACCTACTACATAAATCTGTCGATATCAATCACACACACTGCAAGCTAACTTCAACGAAGTGAATATTATCCACATATCTCTAATCATAATTTTTTGACATTATCTAACTTAGAAAACTATCAAATACATAGAACTCACATATTGGATTACATAATTACTTACTTGTCCAATGTATAAATTCATTCTTTTTCCATAGATTTGATCAATACAACTTTGTGTCAGAATAGTAAAGTTTGGCAAACCAAGTCCATTTTTGATACAAATATCTATTAATAACTTGATAAACATTTGTAATAAATAAACATTTTTATTCATTATTATTATGATTATATGTTAAAGAATAATAATAGTTGAAATTTCACTGGGTGAGATCATGAGTCAATTGAACCTAGACCTCCATGGAAAACCTGGAAGCACTGGATGGCCGTTTTGTCCTATTGTGGGACTCCTCAGCAGTGCGCATCCACAATCCCGCCCCCCCTGCTAGATTCGAACCCAGGACTTATCAGTCTCGCGCCAGGCGCTTAACCAACTAGACCACTGAGCTGTCAGCATCCACGAAGTTGTGCCACCGTACATCATTGTCTTCAGTGAGTTCCTATCTCAAAACAGATCTGGTTGAACTCCCATACTAGGACGAAACGGCCATCCAGTGCTTCCAGGTTTTCCATGGTGGTCTAGCTTCAACTGACTCATGATTTCAACCAGTGAAATTTCTAAAAATCTCCACAAACTCCATTCTGATAATATTAGTTGAAATATCAAATAAAAATTATTATCAAAGGAATTCATGTAGACAATTCCAGGAGACATAGACGGATAGTGGTTAGTAATGTAGTTCAGATTGACGTGCATTTCGTCATAGTTGTGAATTGTCAACTGGATGTACCTACATCCCAGAGTTGATATTCACTTGGGAATACGGACACGGTAATACGCACACTATACACATATACCAATAAAAGACTGATCAATTGCAGTTGTAAATATCAATGAGAAGATTCAAGTAAACAATACCAAGTGAATTCTAGGAAATTTCTAAACAGCTTCATTTTCAACAGTGAAAATATTTCTGTATATTAACTTTATAATGTATTGGTGCAATTTAATAAAAAAGAATTACAGTCTACTACAAAACTACCATGGTTATTCGATTATCTTCCTTCTTGATTGTTGTAGAACGATATCACAATTCATACATCGAATATACATATTTTAGAATAGGAAACAGTTGTTATATAGAAGTACAATTGACCGAAGACATGTATTATCACAGATTATCCATGTAGAAAACTATTCTACACGTTTTTTTTTGAATATTTACAAATTGAATTGACATAATGTTATATTTGGTCGTCGGTGATTGCTGTGCCGGAAAAAAACGCTGATCACTTATAGTTGGAACAAGGGACCTCTGCAATTCCCACGACGCGAAAGTAAGAACACAAAGACTGGTATAAGTGATGATTTATTAACCTCAAAACACGTCGTGACGACGACAATTCTAATAGAAAGTACATTCATTTATATATTGACTGTACACCCATTTTGATTAATAATTAGGATGAAATCACATACTGTGCATAGTTCATGTCAATTAAATACAAGAATATCGTATATTATACAGAAGAAAATATTATACTGGTGAAGATGGCACAGGTATTCAGTGTTTGACAACGCTTTTACCAGCAACACCAGCAACAAATCAAATACTACACTGATTGATCCTCACGTTGAATTAAAATGGATGTTGAATGTTGAATCAATCTCATAATCAGTAAATCAATCGAAAATTGACTTTTCTTGCCATCATATCACATAAGATAAAAACTAGTTTCAAAATTATTATGAATAAGCAGTTTTGTCTGCTTACAATATTCGATGCAGTGTCATTTTTAGTCTTCCTCTTTTCCATTTCCTTTCAGGATTCCTAGTTAACACTTGCTTCATCATTCAGTTTGATGATTTCACAAATGTATGTCATATCCACTTCCAACATCTTTTCTTAATTTGCTCCTCAGCTGGAACCTGGTTTCTTTTATCTCACAGTAGACTGCTGCCGACTTTATCCGGTCAACGGACATTCAGTATATTGTGTAGACAATTGTTTACAAATACTTTTACATTATTGATGATGGTTGTGGTAGTTCTGGAATCTTCAGCTTCGTACAATAGAACTGTCTTGATGTTCGTATTGAAGATTGTGACTTTGATATTTTTGTCAGTTGTTTTGAGGCCCATATGTTGTTTAACTGCTGTTCAATTGCTTTTTCAGTCCTCACCTTTAGGTTCGTCGATGATGATACTGCGGGATATGGTCGTGGACTTTTATACCTGTTCCAGAGTTTCTCCATCAAGTATGGTTGTGTTGTTATTCTTCATGTTCTATTTGAGGATCTTGGTTTTTCCCTTGTGTATGTTGAGGCCTACTGATGTAGAGGCCGCTGCTATACTGTTTGTCTTTATTTGCAATTGTTGTTGTGTTGTATGGGATTGAATTGCCATGTTATCTGTCATATCCAAATCCTCTGGTGGCATTCAACCAGTTCATTGTATCCCATGCTTCCCCTCAGATGTCGAGGTCTTCATAATACAGTCAACCAACAGAAGAAAGAGGAAGATTGATAGCAAGCAGAATTGTCTGACTCCAGTCCCCACCTGGATACTTCTGTCGGCTGTCGTCCATGAATGACTTTGCAGTATTGTCGTATGATTTGCGTAGGACGTTGACGATTTTCCCAGGTACTCCATAGCGTGGAAGACGTTTCCATAATTTTCTCTTATCCATACTGTCAAATGGTTTCTCATAGTCAAGGAAGGTGATGTATAGTGACGAGTTCCATTCAATTGATTGTCTAACGATAAGTTGGAATAATAAGGCAAGTTCACATTTCCTCTAACTCAATGAAACACTTGATGAAATTAATTTTATTCTCAGTGTAACATTTTCAAGATGGTTTTATTTTCAGTACATTTTATTCAGTACAATATTGGTCTTATATTTTCTAGTGTAATATTATTTATGGTTAATATATTTTGTACCTAAAAGGTAACGGAAAAGAGGAAGACCAAAGAGCACATTACGTCGTGAATTGAAAGTAGAGATGAATAGGAATTCAAAAGACCTGGAAATGGTTGCTCAAGACAGAGATGTATGGAGAATGCTGGTAAGCGGCTTATGCTGCTCCACGAGGAATAACAAGCATTAGTAAGTAAGTAAGTAAGTAAGTAAGTAAGTATGTAAGTAATAAAGAGTGGATTTCATTCACTTTGGCAAATGCAAATCTTTAAAAATCCTCAAATTTACAATATTTAACTTACTTTATTAGCATTTGTTATCTGCTGATCATCTATACTGGAATGGTCAATATTCAATCGGTTAACACTTTCATTATTTAAAACGAATGAACAATCGTTTGAATTATTTTGGTTTGAAATTAATGAAGGTTGTAATGAAGTACTTGTTTCAAAAGAACTAAAAATAAAGGTGTAAATAACAGAAATAATGAGAGGGCATTGTATTTCGTTTATATGATGAGTAAACAATAACTAGGCGAGCGATATCAAATAGCTATTCTATATTATGTGTTAGCATACAACAGATTACACCTAAAACCCCACCAAGGACCTAACATAACATTGTCCTGTCCTATAGAAACTAGGATCCTATTACTCTGTTGAATAGGTGTTAAGTAATTCGGATTGTTAAAGCTACTATCAAACTGAGATGTTTTGCGATCATGATTCTTTGCTCTCAATGATACTAAGTTTATAACAGAAATTGACGTATTGAAAAGACGACGACTTTGGATAGTTGGATAAAAGGATGAGGATTATGAGAACTATATGATATATTCTGTCAATACATTCCAAACAATCTAATTACACATATAGTTGTTATGAACATTTATATACAAAAATAAATAGTCATATAGACAAATGGAGGGCAAAAGGAAACAAAGACAATAAACAAAATCATCAGAGAGACAATATGATACTCATCATACACATTGAAATTGATAGACACAGTGGAATGTGACGTAATCGCTTTCATGTCTTTTAAGTTTTCGGTGAAGCAAGTAACTTGTTTTCCCCTTGATAATGACCTTTCTGGATAGTTCGTTTTGTTACCAACTGATTTAAACCTAGGTTTCGAAAGAAGGCTATTTGACTCACCTCTGAAATGTAGGGTGTTATAGACAGCCTTTTTCTTTGCCAAAGATGTATGATACCCATTTTCCATTATTGTTTTCTTCATTAACATTACTTCGTCATCAGTAGCCTCATTTATACAAATACGATCAAACACGAATGTATTGAACTGAGCAATAACTATGATGACTAAGGTACTGGCCTGTGTGGGTTGACTTTCTAACAATGGATCATTTGACTCAACTATCTTCTCTTCTATTTATATATTTATCTGAGTGAATAAGCTGGTAATTCTCCTTCTCTTCACATGAAAACTGTTAGGATTTTGAACTGTGGTAAGTTTGTTCAGTGGACAATGAACATCATCCTATCTTTCAAAGATAACTAATATACCATTCACTTATGGCTTATTAAAGGACATGTTTTTGAATAGATCTCCAGCTACGTTCCCAGCATATTGCGGTAAACAAGAACACAGATGGTGACAATCGAGTGTATTTAACACAACATTACAGAGCATCTCAATAAAATCTGAGTACTATATATTAAATTGTTAATTTGCAAAATGTCCACCAATTGTCTTAAAATGCCTCAAACTTCATTGTTCTTACATTTTCATACGAATTGCATTCTATTCCCGTTCTTGCTTTCTTGATCTTTCTTCATGTTCTGCTGCCAGAGATTACATTCCTGACTCGCAAATATACTACTTATATCAATATAAGTAGCACACAACACAATATGTCGTAAGCACATCAGTTAATAATGGTCTTAACGAACTAGTCATAACAACAACAACAACAACAACAACGTCGATTTGGAGGAAGTATTCACCTTCCAATATGAACTGAACTATGTCAGTTTATATAGTAGTAGAATGTTTCAAAAAACAAACTTTGTTGAATAATGAGAAATAGTTCTGCTCTATGATAACTTCACATCTAAGTTCTCTACGTGTCAAATTCAATAATTGAAACCAAGTATAAGAAAATATTTATCAATGTAACAGTACATTGTCAACTCATATACAAAACCAAAAACGTAAATAATTTATTACGAATGAAAATGTATTTTCTCTTTGGAACTTTAAAATTTCTGCATATAAATGATTATTATGAGAAAGAAGATTTGTGTAGATGGTGGTAAGTTTAACAGTTGAATGAATGAATTGATCTCAACTAAACTATCATTTAAAAACCTGGAAGCAGTAAAAAGCTGTTTCGTCCCATCATGAGACTACGCAACAGTTAGTATTCACGATCATACACATGAGATTTCAGTTCAAAACCTACGGTCTCGCATGTGAACGTTTAACATCTAAACCATCAACCTACTTTCCAATAATACTAATGTCTAACTTCAATTGATTTATAGTCATGTGTAACCTTTTGTTGATTGTTTGAGGTTGATAACTATCTCACCTCCATACAGATTAGACTTCACTGATCATGATCATATAGTACTTTCAGGTATTCAATGATAGTTTAATTTATGAATTCAACTTTAAAAAAATACTATCATCTCTCATAAATTCTATCATGGATAATCATGTCATTACCTAATATCTTTCTTTACATTTAAAATATTACATTTTTTCAATATTATTTGATTTAATTGATCTTGTTTTAATTGTTTATATTCTGTATTCAATATTGAATCATTTTTAATTTTATTCTTTTCAATGTTCAATTTTGTAATTGAATGACATAATTCATTTAAACAAATTTGATTCAATGTTAATGATGATTTGTTATTGATTGATTTATTGATTAAATTATTATTACTGATATCATGATGAGAATGTTTCATTGTAGACGATGTATTCATTGGATTAACAATCGATATCATAGATGATGATGATGATGATGATGATGGCCATGATGAAGAAATGGTATAATTGGATAATAATGAATTAGGATTCATAGTATAATTCAGTAATGGATTACATTGTGTTTGATGTTTATGTAGATTGGTTTGTGTGAACACATTTGGAGTATAATATGAATGATATGAATTCGATGTTATGATTGACTGATTAATTAATGATGTAAAAGGATATAAGTTAGAATGATGTAATTGTTGCAAAGGTATATTATTTGTTAATGCATTAGAATAGAATAGTTCTGATGAAGTTGACGGTATGATGAATGTATTAGATGAACCGCCTAATGACAAAGATGATGATGATGATGATGATGTTGAGAACAATGATAAGGCTTGTTTTTGAGTATATTCTGATAAACTTATATTATTATAATTAATACTACTATTATTATGATTAGTATAGTTTGAATTGATTGTTAAAATTGATTGACAATGATGACTTGTTCTTAAATTATCATTTTTATTGACAGGTTTTGCCCAAGACACTTCAATTTGTGCTCCATCAAGTAAAGTACCTATTTATAAACGAGTAAATATGTTGTTTCGTTTAATAAAGATAAAAAGAAATACATTGAATCCATTGTCTATTGATAATAATAGTAGCAAAAGTATGAAAACATATAGTACATGATCCCATGAATGTAGTATCCATGGCGATAATACAATTTATGGACGAACCAAACAGGTAAGATAATAGGTCTCGGATTTTGAGCGCGAAATTCACTTATCCATTTGGCTAAATAGAGTTTCGCCATTTTAACTGATGTCAGTTCGTGATGAAAACCCCAAAATCTAATTCCTAACCCGTAACCATAAACCGCAAATCACAATTCGAATTCCTCACATTAATTTATAACCCTCATTTGATCATAGTTATCAGGTGGGCACTCTCAAGGTCACTTTAGCGTCGCTAAAAGTCTGTCCATAAATTATAGATTCAGATAATTTAATACTTGAATTAATTAGTCAATTAAAGCTAGAGCATCATGGAAAACCTGGAGGCACTGGACGAGCCATTTCGTTCTAGTGTCGGACTCTTAAGCAGTCTAGAAATAAGCTTACGAATTAGTGTGAGGATTTTAGATTCGAAGTTAGGGTTAGAAACTGTAATTTGAGTTTTCATCACGAATTGACATCAGTTATAATATAAATTTGGTATTTAGCTATATAAATAAATGAATTGTGAGCTAGAATTCTCAAGTTTCAATCTTTAGTTTGATTGGTTTGTCCATAAGCTATAATTTGTCGTTAAAGTTTATGTACCGTTAAAGAACCTAACTCAAAAATTAACTAGACCTGGTGATAACCAGTGCTTCGAAAGCAGTTGAATAGAATATCGTGTACTTATTACTACTTAGTTAACTTCACATGTAGCTCTTCTACGGTTACTGCCGGTCCCAAGCCGAGGTAAGGGAGAAGGGTTGAGCGCGGGGTTGGCACCCACATTCCATCGAAAACAACTTTACTAAAAAAACGTTAAACAGAATGAACATGTTAAGCCATTTGTAATCTGCCCTCTGAGTTGAAGGAACAATTACGACGTCTCGTGATGGAAGCTGATACCCTTTTCTAACAACCGGAGCAACAATTTCCATAGGTACATAGAACGCCCAGGCAATGCGGGAGACCAGGAGGATCAATCAAATATGAACGGAAATGAGGAGATACAACTTGGTGGTTTTCGGAATCAGAAAAATCCATTGGACCCAAGCTGGACAGAAGAGGCTAGATACCGGAGAGATGCTGCTGTACTCCGGTCACGAAGAGGAAAATGTCAAAAGAAACACGTAATGAACTTATAGGATGGGAACCTCATGGATGCAGGGTCATCTTAGAGATGTCTCAGCTCTCATTTCACAATGCCAGTGATATGTGTAAACACAGTAGCTTAATTGTTGGTACATTGTCTTATGCTTCTAATGTTTTAATTATTTATTTAGTAATTATCACTTTCACGTTTTTTTCTCTCAGGTCAATGAAACTCGTTAAGTAAACCATCATCTATCATTCAAGTAATTTGATTTCATTTCCTTTAGATTCTCAACCATTACGTAACTTTATTTTGACATTTGAAATCATGTAATATTCGGTCTGTATTTCTATAAACTACTTTATTCCTTGAGTTATTATAAGTACAATTGAACAGGTTGTATCTGACAGCGAAATATCTTTCATTGACTTGTCTTTAATTGTGATCAAGGACAAAGCCAATAAAGTCTCTGACTTTATCAACAAATATTCGGTGACAAATATGTTTTCAAAGTTTGTGTGTAAACTCATGATTACTTAGTTTGTTACAATTAACAGCCATCAACATTTTCTGACTGTCATTGGGCGTGGTGTCTGAGATATGACACTGATTCACCATGTCATGCTTACAGGTCTCCCCAGATAACTACTGAGCGAGAAGATAAAGTTGAGGAAAAAAGCACCTAAGAAAATCGATTTCTCCAAGGATTTCATGAGAAAAACATGGGTAACAGGTTTTTTAAAGTATGGAAAACCTCATATCCTTTAAGATAGAACTTTGTAGTACCGTTACATATCAACATTGAGTTCTACGCTATATGTGACTATAGATAGATTGACAAGTTTTATCTTTTTACTAAAAGTGGTATTTCTGGTTTGTAGCTGTATAGCAACTACAAAGTTTGTTAACTTTATAAAATATACATAACTAACCCATTCCCTTCATTTCATACGGTGACATGAGATTGAACTGTTTCATTATCTAAGATGATGATTTCACGGGATTTATTTTCCAAACTCTATTAGGACAGTTATAAAATTCAAGTAAAGCATAATTTCATTTGTATTTTTCATGTAATAAAAAGATATATTCTGTTCAGATGATTAACATCATGCATTATTGAATTATCATTACACATGAATAAACAGCTGATCGTGACATTTTGGAAAAGATAAGCTCCACATTTGCGCATATTTTGAACACTGAGTATTCGGTCAAAATACGCTCAGCGTTCGAAGTTATCTCTATAGGGTAGATAGAAACTTACCAATGATGGTGAGTGAGCACTATTAAAGCCTTTAATATACATTTCGAAAAGCTATTACAGTGTATATCAAAGATACTTGATCAATCTCTTTTCTTACCATCGTCTTAAAATCTAGTTCTCCGATTCAGTCGCCCATGTTTTTTATCATTCTCTATCGACATTTTGCCTTCAACCGACATAGTATGTCACCATACCCTCTAAGATCACATTCTATTCTAATTTAAGGAATTTATTTTACTATGTAATGTTACAGGTATTGCACTTAATCTATTCTCCATGACAATCTCAGCAAGTATTCATAGTCATAAAAACCAAATCTTCATTTTTGTATTTAGGAGACATTTTAGAAGCTTAGAAGATAATATCATCACTAAGAAGAAAAGTGTATACTTACAGTTTTACAGCGTTGAGAATGATTCCGCCATACAGAGAAATACTTGTATGATTCAATTGTCCTTATTTTAAAAAGAATTTTCGAATGTATAGGACTATTAACGAAATCTTGACAATGATACGGACGAGAAGTTAGTCATTTTCAAGTTCAGTCACTTGATCTCTTATTCCAAAGTATAAAATGAGCAATATTTCATGAGCATCATACTGGTTTATCACTAGGTATTAACATATGTCATATTTATATAGTTGTTAGTGCTGATTTAATTCTATCGACAAAGTTGCAACGTAGTCACTAAAACAAAGTTCACGAAAAGTTAACCTGCACTGCAACTTGATTAATGGAAATCAATCAAAACTAAGAACTAGACTAACATGATGTTCTTTACTTCTCACCCATCAATCAATGTGAATAGGTTGGTCTTAAAGGCAGTCGATCACAACCTGAATACTTGAATAGTAATGCCTCTGACTAAGATACTGGATAAAGCTAGTTCAGAATCCTACGTTGCGCATCAGTTCTCCGAATGATTTATTTACATCATGATGATCATAGCTAGATAATAAGCAACGTTTCCTACCAATTAGAAGTATTATCTAAAGTGAGTATTATAATATTACACATACGAATCAGATGACTTAAATGTATCAAGTGACTTGGATGACTTTCTTATGTAATCTAATAACTGATAACGACCATAATTCTTTAATTATAAAACATTTTTAAACATTATCTCAACAGGTTTAGAAAGCTATTTCATTGTCAGAAGGTGTTGTGTGGAGATTTTAGAAATTTCACTGGTTGAAATCATGAGCGGATTGAAGCTAGACCAGCATGGACAACCTGGAAGCACTGAACGGCCGTTTCGTCCTAGTATGGCACTTCTCAGCAGTGTGCACCCACGATCCAGGCCCCTGTGAGATTTGAAGTTAGACATTAACACCGCTGAATGCCGGCTCATTGGTCTAGTCGTTAAGCGTTGGCGCGCGAGACCGACAGGTCCTGGGTTCGAGTCGCGCGTAGGGGTTCGTGGATGCGCACCGCTGAGGAGTCCCATAATACGACTTCCAGGTTCTCCACGGTGGTCTAGCTTCAACTGTCTCATGATTCAACCAGTGCTATTTCGTTGGTTGTTCTTAGATGCTCAAAATATTTAGGGCAAGCTAGATATATGAGTGAAAATTCATTCGAATAGAAACTATCTTACTTATCAACTATACCTAAATGTGACTATACATTTCTATCAAAAATTGGTATTCACTAATAATTTGTGTGATTAATTCAATTTTGTTTAAACCAATTTAAATGACTGACAACACTACAGTTTATTTCGACAAATAACAAGAAGAAATGAGTCGTAAAAACAGTACACAAACAAACTATTCGCAAACATAAGCATCGAATACGATGTTCCAGGACAAACATACACCATGAATATAATTTGGCATTCATTTTGATATTTCGGATTATAAGTAATGGTAAAATTATTAATATGTGTTTTTCCGCAATGGAATACGTCAAGTGAATGTAATGGTACCCTAATGTTGATAGTGACATCGATACTGGAATCCAGTAAGTTCAACTTCAAATGCCGATGTATCATCTAATGATATGATTGGTTCAGGTAACTAGCTATCTACTTAACGAGTAATCACAATTTAGTAATAAAATAATACAAAACGTAACGAATCAGCTATCATTATTGAAGATCAAACTGTGTCATGTCATTTTATGAATACAGACTGATAGCGGAAATAATTATGTTCTGAAATACAGTGCTAATTGGAAACAAATGATTATAAATACAGTGTACTGACAATACATCAATCGGATATATTATTATTATGAGATATAATTATAGAATGAAAGGTTTAAGAGATTTTTGGCCTTCATAGGATGAAACCATTACGATAAGTTTCTTGTTTAAATTTTCACTTCACCTACTTCAGTCGTAAGTAGTATCAGTACTTCTTCAAAGTAGTTTTACTCTAAGGTTCATTTTACAAAACCTTACTTAGTGCAAGAGTTATAATTATGTACTCTAGGTGTTAGTATTACTGAATGATAGGAACTTGGGTCATTATGTATACATGCCAACCGTCAACAAAACCATGAAGAACGCAAGTTCTTGAGAATATCATTTCACCAGTTTATGTATGCTTTGTAGATACTCTTAAGTTTACAGATTTAAATCATGAGTGTTGAAGCTAGATCACCATGGAAAACCTAGAAGAACTGGACGGCCGTTTCGTCCTAGTATGGGACTCTCAGCAGTGCTCATCCACGATCCCGCACCCCGCGGGATGATTCAATCTGTGAAAATCTAAGATCCACAAACCCTTCTGACTCTTTTGAAGTATTATAAATTATATTTTGCTTTGTGTGCTTGTAGATATTTCTTAAGATATATTAACATTTTAGATGATTTGCAGTTGCTTTTGAATGACAGAAAAATTTGTGTTTATATTCTCCAGTTTTAATGGGTATTCAAACACTACCACATTTTCGTCATTTATGTATCTGTACTTTTGACTACCTTTATCATTTCAGTAGTATAAATACATAATCAGAATATTCAAGCTCCTGGTGGCGCATTGCAACATGATCGATAGCATTCGATCTGCACTAATAAGGACTAGCACGATGACATTGATCGCCATAGTGATCAATCAATTGTGATTACATCTCAGTCCTACAGGAGGTTGGTCGGGCTCGATAGCTCATGGAACGTCTCTGATGTGAAGCTGGGTGACACGAGACCGGATCCGAGGGAGCACCAGTTCCCTCAGATTACAGGTACACCTTGGCAAGTCCGGGTCCAGGTTTCCTGTTGACTACCTCCAACCACATCTTATCTCAATATTCAAGCTCCTTAAATAGTTTGGTCTCATCAACTCGTATGTTAACTCACGTTGATACATAAGCGTAACTCAAATAGAATAATATGCTCTGGTAGCCGCATTACATGGAAACTTCATTTATTTTTGTGAAGTATTGGCTAATCATCCTGTTGAAAATAAATCAATCTGCTTAGTTAGCTCAACTAAACCATCAGCATGTCCGGTATTCACGAGTGTTCTTCATTATATCCAACCCCATATTATTATTTCTAAAACCATACTTAACGGAATTCGGAGCCTAAACCACACCAGTGGTGATCATTCATTGTCTTACTAGGGGCCAAGCCCAGGAACTCCAGTGACAATGGATGATGATCATTCGGTAGATTAAACTTTATGTCAAACAAAAGAAGTAATTTTAATTGTTTGAAAATGAGGCGAAGCCTGAGGGTTGTTTTCCCGCCACTGATCTGCTGTGAAGATATTGTGGAGGAGAGAAATGACAACACAAGGCCACTGTTTAGTATCTGCTGATCTTTCATGGTTGTTTAACCAAAGTGACGTATTGGCGTGAAGCTTTAAATCATCTGTAAGTTAGTTTAAAAAATTTATAACGGTTGTTACTCAAAGTATGTATTACAGATTATCGGTCTTTTAAATTTTCGTTCTCTGAAATGAATGATTCATTAGCTTTCTAGAAAACATCATCCACACAAACCATCGACAGCTGTGAGTAATTCAAACTTCCCTACCTATCTTAAGATAAATTCAAAGGGAGAGATAAATAGTCAATGTGGAGACAATCACTGAACAAGAGTCAATTATAAATAATGAAGAATATACTGTTACTCATATTTAGAATATTTAAAGCTTTATTCTATCAGATGTTTGTACTGCTGATAATGCTGTCCAGAAGGAAACTGAAAGCTTCATAATTAAATCATTCAATTCAAACATAGCAACATTATCAAAGCTATTTCTTTGAGATATAAATCTTCTTTACTATGTCATAACTTACCATTTAATTGATTTAACGCTGCAACAGCATCTAATCGATCACGAAAGTGAACAAAAGCATAATCACGAATTTTTTTAACACGTTCAACAGCATTAATTGAATTAATTGCTTGATTGAAATGATCCTTTACTGCATTTTCTGTTGTATCTAACATTAAATTTCTAACGTATAGTATACGGACCTATACAAAGTGAAATCAATATATATATCTTGTGAAATACTATAAGTAGTATAAGTTCAATTATAAAATGTAATTACATTTTCTCATAAAAACTCTTAATGTATACCAAATACAATTAACGTTTATACAAAATTACATTTACACATATACACTTGGAAGTTTGTGAAAATAGTGCCTCAACAAATCCAAGTATGTACTCTCAACAAATTCTCAACAAAACTGTTTCAAGCTGATATTATAACATATTTCTATTGTACTTTCGGTTGTAGAGACTAATGTATTGAAAGACAACGTTTCGTATTGTTTTGTGCACACATACCAGCTTAATTTTTAATGATTTGGATTAGCGTGGCTGAAGAGAGACAACTGCGTCAAGTGTGATTGGATAGGTGCATGCTTTGTTGTACCAGAAAATTTTGCTTTTCCGTTTGAGTATGTTGAGACCTACTGCTGCTGAGGCTGCAGCTACATTGGTTTTCTTCTCCTGTATTTGTTGGTGCATGTGTGATAAAAGAGCCAGATCATCTGCGAAGTCTAGATCATCCAGCTGCATTCTAGCTGTCCACTGTATCCTATGCTTCCCCTCAGATGTTGACGTCTTCATGATCCAGTCGATCATCAGGACAAAGAGAAAGGACGAGAGTAAGAAACCTTGCCTGTGAGCTGTCCTCCATGCACCACTTTGCAGTTGAATCCATCATATGAACCCTGTATGATATTGACTATCTTCTGAGGCACGCCGTAGTGTCGAAGAAGTTTCCATAGTGTTTTTCTGTCCACGCTGTCAAATGCTTTTTCGTAGTCAATGAAGTTGATGTAGAGTGATGAATTCCATTCAATTGATTGTTCCACAATGATCCGTAGTGTTGCAGTTTGGTCTGTACACGATCTATCCTTACGGAATCCCGCCTGTTGGTCACGAAGTTGAGCGTCTACGCAGTCCTTCATCCTGTTTAACAATACCCTGTTGAAGACTTTTCCCGGTATTGAGAGAAGAGTGATGCCCCTGTAGTTATCACAGTTGCTGAGATCGCCTTTCTTCGGTATTTTGACCAGAAGTCCTTCTTTCCAGTCTTTTGGTACTTGTTCCTCATCCCAAATCTTATTGAAGAGAATGTGGAGTATCCTTGCAGTTGCCACTACGTCTGCTTTTAGTGCTTCTGATGGAATGTTGTCTGGTCCTGCTGCTTTGCCACTCTTGATTTGTCTGATGACCATGATTATCTCTTCAATTGTTGGTGGGCCAACATCGATTTGGGAGGTCCGTGGGTGCTGATTCGATGTTGGGTGGGTTCAGTGGAGCTGGTCGATTCAAGAGTTCTTTGAAGTGTTCTACCCACCTGTTTTGTTGCTCTTCAATGTTGGTGATTACCTCGCCTTCCTTGCTTTTCACTGGTCGTTCTGGTTTGCGGCGATTTCCAGAGAGTTTCTTTGTCATGTTTCCTTCTCTTGCAGCCTTTTCCGCCGTCGTTGCTAAATCTTCCACATATTTACGTTTGTCGGTTCTGATGCTCCTCTTCACTTGTTTGTTTACTTCTGTGTATTCAGCTTGTGTCTTGGCTTTTTCTGCTCTTGTTCGGCTGGTATTGATTGCTGCTTTCTTGTTCCTCCTTTCTTGAATCTTATCCCGTGTATCAACAGTGATCCATTCCTTGTGATGGTGCTTGTTGTGACCCAGGACCTGATGACATGTTGAAGTGATTGCTTCTTTTATCCCCTTCCAGTTGGTTTCCATAGTATGTCCCTCTCCATTGAGCAGATCATGAAAGGCCTGGAATCTATTGCTGAGGAATATCATGAATTTACTAAGTTTGTCAGTATCCTGAAGAAAAGACGTATCAAACTTTTGTGATGTTATCCGCCCCGTTTTCCAGTGCTTCTTAAGTTTCAGTTTCATCTTGGCGACCAGCAAGTGATGATCTGATGCCATATCGGCTCCTCTCCATGTTCTCACGTCCTCCATTGTCCTTCTGAACTTTTTGTTGATGCAGATGTGGTCGATTCGGTTCTGCGTAGCGTGATCCGGTGAAGTCAATGTGGTTTTGTGTATGTGTTTGTGTGGGAATCACATAGGTTTGCATATCTCTCACCATTTTCTTCCCTTTCTCCTAGTCAATGTCGTCCCATGATGTCTTCATATCCAGTGTTGTCCATTCCAACCTTGCCACTTAAATCTCCCATCAGAATTGTAAGGTCCTTTGTTGGGCATTTCTCGATGATGGACTTCAGCCTATCTTTAACGTCTTCATTGTAGTCGTTGTTAATCGCATACCATTGGATAATGTTCATTGTAATACCCTCTTTCTTTGTTTTGAAGGAGACTTTGATGATCCTTGGTCAATGAGATTCTCATCCTATAAGTGCATTTTGTGTTTGTTTGGACAGCATCAATGCAACTCCTTGTGTATATCGAGTATAACAACAGCTCCCCTGAAGCTAGTCGTTGTTGTTTAACTTGCGTCCAATATGTTTGACTAATTTCAAGTACCTTCATGTTTTATATTTTCATTTCTGCAGCCATTTAGATGATTCTCAAAATCCACATCCACTGCATGTATATGCTATGGGTATATGTTAAAGATATTAAACTCTACTGACAATCAAAGGTTAATGTATGTAGATTCCAGTACCCAAAGTTCATGAATGATATAACGATGATTGTTACAAATCAAGTGAATACAGTATTGAAGGATTCGAATTATATTGAATAGGAAGTTAATATTTTGTATGATGCTTTTTTTTTTCTCTGTACAAGGAATGAATGACATGATTGTTCAAAATGATAATCATATTATATCGTATTACCTGCAAATATCAATAAGTTAATTTCATTCAAGTTACAATGAGCGTTCAACTTACTTTTGACATAATATTTTCATCAACTTCATGTTCTGGTTCTGCCCAATCCACTGCAATTTGATAACCCCATAATTGTATTCGTCCTAGAATTAATTTACGTCTAGCCATTGCTGCTGTTTTATGATTATCATATTCAATAAATGCAAATCCTCTATTCTTTGTTTTATCTTCTATACTTGAATAAACAATAACATCTTTTACACCATTTGTTATTTTACATATTTCTAACATTATTTCATATTTTGTTTTTGTTTTTGGTATACCACCAATAAATAAACGACAATTATCAATACTATAACAAACGCCTAACAATTTACCTTTACGTATTTCATAATTATTTAATTCATTTACAGCTCGTTTTGTATCATTACGATTTGTATATAAACAAAAACCATAACCACGATTTAATCCATTAAAATCCATCATTAAACGAAACATATAAATTTGACCAATTAATTCAAATATTGGAATTAATTCATCTTCATAACAATTACGTGGTATTTTCCCAATAAATATTTCACAACCTTTTGGTGGTTTTGGTCCTAACCAATTTGGTGGTGGACCATAACAACGTTGACCATTCTCTTGTAATATTGGATATGATGTTCTTTCGGTTAATGTAACTAGAGCTTGTTCATGTGACATAAACATTTTAGTATTTGGACAAGTTGTATCTTTTAAAATAGACTGACTAGATGATATACGATTTGATATAACTGTAGGGAATAATAATTTATTTCTTATTGAATCTATTGAATTCATTGAATTGATTTCAAATTTCATTGATCATTGTTATTATTATCATCTATTGTTTAGTAGATAAAGTTTACTATTCAAGTAAAAAGGAATCATTCATTTCACAATCATGATTATAATTCAAGTCTTAGAATGAGAATTCAGCATGGAAATTTATCTATCATATCAAATGTTCATGATTCACTTCATCTAAGATAATAATACTGAAATGAATAATGAAATATGAAATTGACGAAATGATACTCATAGAATAGTTATGTTATGTAATAATTATGTTGATTATAATATAAAAAGTAATATTAGTTTAGGGGTTGTGGTGATTGTTAAGTTTTTGATTAAGATCATGAACTGATTGATGTTAGACCATCACTGGGTTTGAATGCTGAGAGTGGGATTGTGAATGCGCACTGCTGAAGAGTCCTACAATAGGACGAAATGGCTGTTCAGTGCTTTCAAGTTTTCAATCGTGGTCTAACATCAATCGGTTCATGATCTCAATAAAAGTAATAGTAAAGATAATAATAATAATAATATAACCGAGATGTTAAAGCATGTCAGCAAGAGAATTCACTCTGTAGAAGAGCAACCTGACAAATTGAGTGAACAATATTTAGATTATGTTAAGCTGGTGATTAATACAAGAAAATAAACATGAAACTTGAGAGAGATCTAAACAAACAAACTCTAGAAATGAAATTCAAATCTAATCTAGGTCAGTATGTTTTAATGACCCGTGGATTTGACTCCAATTAGATCGTAATGATGATTGTTGTTGAATTATATATGCCGCCTATCCACGTATACAATCATCGACTTAAATCACGTTAGTCAATAACGGATTTTAGATAAGTCATTTAACGAGAATGTCCTTTGAATACATATATTTTGTATGTAAAGTGAATGTAATAGAACAAAGCAAAATGCCGCGCAGTTGTGAAGATGGCTGGTAAGGCAACTCATTTTTTATCCAGGTGTTACTCAATATTTATGTGCAGACAAAATAAACTACAAACATGTGATGAGACATGGGATAAGAAGTGTACACACACCTACGCGATCATATAAAAACAGTCAAGATTGATAAGCGAATAATTAACAAGGTCAACATATGACTCAAGTAGATTAAATAGATTGTGCTGTCCGAAAGTTAGAATAAAGTATATGGGCTTAACATAATAACTGACACTACAATGTACACAATTCCCCTAGTATTAAACTCAATAAGATTGAGTTGGAAACGTTATCACTAGGTCCTAAGTTTTGTAACCTAAAAAAAATAATAGTAACTTCATCAAAAGATAAATTCGAGAGATTTAAATCAATACTATAGAGCGGTTGCTATAGATACCTAAATCATGGATGTAATTTAAAAGGGATTTTGATGAAAAATCATAAGGAAGCTTAAAACTGATGTCAATTTATTATTCACCAAACTAGATAAAAGTTACGGTATAGTAATCGTGTATTAAATCAATCATTTAAACAGAATGAAGGTCTATTTAAATGATAAGAGTAAATTTCAGAAACTGGTAGTGAAGAATCACATGGCAGACAGAATTCGAAAAAAAACCCAGCTGATAGGCTCATTGAAACAAATCAAACAACAATATTTTATTACGTAAAGTGTTCGAAATGTTGTGACCTATTGGAACCATAAAAACAAGACTATATAATCTGCCAAATATACATAAAAGTGGCTTATCCCTTCGACATGTTTTTAGTTATGAATAGTTCAGCCTATCCATATTACAGCAAAATGGCTAATACGAATTTTCAAACCATTGCACAAAGAAATTCTTGAGCATAGTGTCAAGGATTCTTTTGAATTTGTTGATAATATGATAAATCTGTCGGTCAATAATAAATTCATGATATCATTGGAAATGTTGTTGCTATTCACTAACATTCCACTTCTTAAAACTGTGGATATTAGATGCAATGAATTAACAGTAAGATGCATAGAAACCTTAATTATCGCGTCCGTGATGCATGATTCTTAAAAGCACGATGAATATCCACTTCCAATTCGAAAATGAATACTATAGACAGTTGGTGTGACCATTGAGTCACCATTAGGACCTATACTGACAGACATTCTTCTTACAAAGCAGGAAAATAGGCCACCTGCGGACACAATCAGTCGTCTGACATCTTACTGTCGTTATATAGATGATACTTTGATAGTATTAAAAAAAGATCATGAAAAGGATAATTTACTTAATATATATTTAATAATATTCATCCATCGATTACTTTCACGTTAGCAGAAGAATAGAATGATAGTACGTCGTTTCAAGATGTCCAACTAACCAGAAGAGTAGATGGGACATTAATAGGAGGATACATTGAAAGTCTACTGTTGGACAATTTACTTATTTCTATAGCGTTTCACTAAACAGATACAAAAGAGACTTAATAAAGATCGTGACTCATAGAGCCAGAATGATTTCCTCGAATGACACCATTGTACATGAATCGATCATTATTCGTAATATGATTAATAAGAATGGATCCTCAACGAAATTCATCAATAAGCATACGAAAGAGAAGAAAAGAAGAACAAAGATACCTACCATTCCAAAGAATTGCCGTTCTTAAAATGACAATTCCTAAATGACGCTACCGAGGAACTGATGGCTCAAAAGTTAAGAAAAGCGGTACAAGAGATCAGTCTGAATACGTTTTCCTAAAACTGCCCCATAATAAGAACCAATAGTAAAGATAGTTCACTAGAATTTATCACACTCATGTACAATCACCAATTCAACTCCCCCTGTCGAGCCAGTTATATTAAACGTACAATTATATTCCGTAATTTATCAGCTAATAAACCACGATGATTAATGAGGCATACATTGTAATTGAATTGATCAACAGATCCAACTAATAAATTTAATTCAGTCAGATTAAAGGGTTATTCTGTACTTGTACTAAAATAGCTCACTTCATTTTGACAGGAACTCATCACAAGTATTTTTTCCATTGTTACACATGTAGCATAGAAGACAAAAGAGTTTTTTCTACCTTTAGCCAAATAGAATTACACGAATTGTCTACTCTAAGGTAATTAGACCTAATTCAGTAAAATAGCATTTTTTGAATACCAATTTCACCCATTCTCCCTCTCACACGGCCACGCGTATACAACCTCTGCCAGGGAAGTCCTACTCATTGCCTTCTCACACCACAGGTGTTGTTTAAGAAAATGGAAGGACGGAAAGCGAATGCCCGATGCTTTAACCGGATCCCAAACCAAACCAATGGTACACATGGGCTCCAGTATCCTGAGGGAACAAATGGCGTATGAATGAATCGTTGGTCACCGGCTACCATGGGAACGCATCTCCTCACGATGCTCTACGGCCTTGTGGGTCAGACCTTTAGGTCAAAGGCTCGGAGTGTGGCCCCCTAAGATAACCACCTGCTTCGGTCTGAGCACCCGGGAAGTATCACAGCCCACACACACACAAATATAGTGTGGCGCATATATATTTTGGTCCCCTCTTGTACCAATATTTAGGTGTTGAAATAAATAAATAAATAAATTATTACGCTTAATGTGTAAATGATTTATTAGATCAAATCTTACTTATGTGAACAGGGAAACAAGAAACCCTGACAAACTACAAAAGCTATTTTTATCTCATTTTATTCAAAGCTTGTAAAACATTAACATTTATTTTTGTACCTAATCTATTCTACAGAACATAAGCTTTCGTTCGATGTATGATTTATTGCCATACCCCTTTTCTGTTCCGAAGCTAGCGTAATTTAAACAAAATATTTTGCACCTTATTTTCTACTCTAATTCCCAGTTTTAGACATGAATGTATTTTTCCTAATTATTGTACGTTATGATCGGGTTATTCACTTATTTATTCATGTATCTTTTCGCACTAATCTAAATTCAGGGAATTCACAGGAAATCAGGGTATCGTGAATAGATAGAGTAGTGTTCCAGTTGTCTTGTCTTCTCTCATTCGTGTGCTTGTCAACCAATCAGGTGATAGAATAGTTTTCTTCTCTCTACTCCAGCTCAAACTCACGCGTACTAGCCTCAAGTTTAGGTCGGTCACTTTATTGCGTCAAGGTCTTAATCTAGAGCAGACAGATCAAGGTCATAACATTTACAAAATTATTATATTTTATGACATGAAGAAAAGAAGAATGAAGTATATGGTAGATGCGGTAGTTGAATACGTCTGAGAAAACTGTCATATGTATTGAATGTTGTATAGTATTTAAAGACAATGGATGAAGTCAACTGTTGTCTAGATCTTTTTTAATTTTCAACCAAATCTTCTTGAATTTCTAATCTATGATATATATGATCACATTGGTAATGACAAGGAAGACTGAATTTATTAGTAAAGTTCAAAATAATAGTCCGTTATTATATGAAATAGTAGTACTTTCTATCTGATCAAATTATTTTTAAGTGAAGTTATTCTTGATCTAGGAAGTGATGACAAAGAAAGGTTGTCATGTCATATATATTTCAAACTACAAACAATGAGGGAACTATTGACAAAAATTAAATGGTTAAGATCATGAGTCAGTCGAAGCTAGACCACCATGGAAAACCTGGAAGCACTGGATGGCCGTTTCGTCCTATTGTGATCTGATATTAATCAACATATGCTCACTAGTGATTGGCTTCACGAGGTATATCCTGGAGTTTTAGTGAGAAGTAGTGACCAGTGGAGTTCAACCAGGTCTCTTGTGAGATAGTAACTCACTGAAGACAATGGTGAATGTGTCGCTCAATTTCGTGGATTAGTTGGAGTTAGACATTAACACTGCCGGATGCCGGCTCAGTGGTCTAGTGGTTAAATGCTCACGCGCGAAACCAGTAGGTCCTGGGTTCGAATCTCGCAGGGGGCGGGGTCGTGGATGCTCCCTGCTGAGGACTCCCACAATAGGACGAAACGGCCGTTCAGTGCTTCCAGGTTTTCCATGGTGGTCTAGCTTCAATTGACTCATGATCTTAACCATTGAAATTACTACAATCTCCAAAAAACCCATCT